CCTGTTCAAATAGTTTGAGTACAATGAGCTTTCCAGTGGGACACGTTACGGCGGTCGAAAGTGGACAAATAGTCAAACATGTGTATTGTGCATTTGACATTTTGCATTTGACATTTTGCTACGCGCCGTCTTGCAACCCACCGTTTTGGAACACAGCCCTGGTGGCCCCACCGCGCACCAAAACAGAGCGCCCACCGAGAGAAAAAGAGATAGAAAAAGAGAGAGTAAAAGAGAGAGGAAACAGAAAGCATAGGGGAGAGAAAAGAGAGCGGAAAAGAGGGCGAAAAAAGAGAGCGAAAATTGCGAGAGAACGGTAGGTGACAGCGAGGAAAGGAGTTTGGTGGGGTGGAGATGGATTAGGGTTTAGATCACAGAAGCTAGGCCCCACACGATAAAAAAAAAAAAAAAACCGTGCCATCACCACACTATAACCACCACTGACTCCACCGCTACCTCCGCCACCATGCCACCGAAGCTCTTTGTCTAGAGATGTTCCTCGCCAGAGCAGCAAGCTCAAGGTAAGAAGGCAGACGGAGAGTGGAAGTTATTGCATACCAAGTTCGGACGGTGTGCTGAACATTGGTGTTGGATTTGCGCTTTGTGGGTTAGAACATCTTAGTTTGCTTAACAACCAGTGAAGACTGGATTTCCGTTTCACAAATTGCTGGATATGGTTCAACTTGTGCTGACGTTGAGTGCTTCCTTTAGTTGTATTGTTTCAAGCCTCATCTCAGCCGGAAGGAGCCCAGGAGCAGTTGATATCAACACATTGAAATTCCGAGTGCTATATTATGATCCTAATCCCAGTCATAATCCGAGGGGTTAGTCGGATCACTAGAGTACATAGGAGGAGACAACGCCCGCCCTGTCGACTTGCTGCCCGCTCCTTCAACTGGCCCGTTCCCTCATTACAGTCGCTCCGTCGGCTCGGTGAACACTCCCAGAACTCGTCCGCTCTGTAGACTCACCTCTTCCCCGCCAGGAGTTGCTAATCCGCCTCGTTGCCTCCCGTCCTTGCATCTGTTGCTGCTACAAACTCCAGAATTGAGCCGCTACAGCGGGTTTCAACAAAGAGGTCGTGGATCTTGAAGCGATCCTTTCTCCGAGCCCTCCATTCCCCCACCCACTGTCAGAGTATCGGCTCCTGGCGCCTCTGCGGCCAGCTTCGGCCATTCGTCTGCCTTTTCGTTGCGAGGGACACCCTTGTGAGGAGGGCACCGCCAAATGTCAATGACCATTTTCGGTCTACCTGTTCCTCTGGAGGGAGAAATCTAGCGGTGATGGTGACGGTATAGTAGTGGTGATGACTGTTTTATCGCGTGGGGCCTACTGCGACATCTGAACCCTAACGCATCTACACCCCACCCAACTCCTCTCCTCGCTGTCACCTGCCGTCCTCTCGCGATTTTGGCCATCTTTTTCCGCTCTCTTTTCCGCCCTCTGTTTCTCTCCCTTATGCCTTCTCTTTTTGTCTCGGTGGGCGCTCTGTTGTGTTGTGGGGTGGGGCGACCAGTGCCATGTTGCAAACCAGCGGGTTGCGAGACGCACGTAGCAAAATGTCAAATGCAAAATTTCAAATGCACAATGTCAAATGCACAATACACATGTGTGGCTATTTGTCCACTTTCGACCGCCGTACACGTAACCAGCATCGCAGCAGTCACTAGTGTTTCCGGCGCGGTACAGAACACGCCATGAAATTGTGGCGTCGATGAATGTATTGAAGGGGGTTGTGGACACTAGAGAAAGGTGGCCGGCCGGCCGCCGCGTCGTGCACCACTCTCTGCCACCAAGTCCATCAGTGTGAAAATGTGGGTTTGTCATCCGCGCATGGCATGGTGGAGAAACACCAGCTCGCCGGGACGTGCGTTCGGCAATGCGCATTAGCTAATAGACCTTAAAGCACGGCTATCGGCTGTCGGTCGGTGGCTTTAACCGAGGACGAGGATCCACAACGTGTCATATGTGTGACACCGGGGTGGTTCACAGTTGGCACGCTCACGGCAGCGGGCAAAGACAGTCTACTGATTAGAAGGGAACAGCACTTGTACAATGGCGGTGAAGTAAACGTGGAGGCCCAACTGATTCGCACGACGGGTGTTCTTGGAAACAACTGAAAAGGGTTGACGATCGGATAATGACGAATAGGGAGAGAGAGTACATCCAAGAGTAACAATGTCTGATTGTAATGGCTTAACTCCCAGTGATGGTAGTCGATACCTTCTCTACGATGGAAAGTCGTCGGTCTTTATACCGACACGTAGTAATAGTTGATGATAACCAACAGCGATACTAATGTATTCCCATATTCATGAGGTATGTTGCCAGCTCGCTGGGTGTAACAGCCGCATCGATGAGGTTATTCCATGTCCGTCAAGTTCATTTAGCCGCCATCAAAGCCCTGGACAGCTTATATGTAGATAAATATCAGCAATTTTTGACGCTAACAAATCAGAAGCGAACGCATAAGATGGAAATAAATCGATGATATCTCACTCGGTTCCGATCGAGTGAGATATCGATACGCACGGTCCAAGGTTGCGTTCGCCCGTCACCAAGGCCAGGGTTGGATGTACTGCACGTGGTAGGTGTCCTGTGGATGGCCTGCGTGTCTATATCTCCTTTTTGGAACCTCCGGAACGTTGGAATGCGTTTAGATCGAATATCGCTGATGTATGCAGTGATCGGCTGAATCGGCGAGACCACCACGGCTGATTGCAACATCCCCAACGGCGCCGCCACGTGTTCTAGCTCACAACCACAGGTTAATGTATCATGTACTCTTGTCAAAACCACAGCGCCACAGCCCACGGCTAGTACAAGCGCCAACCTTTCCGGGCCCTGATGGGGCTCCACTGCTGCATTCCTCCTCTGGCTTGCCCGGAGCCCTACAGTCCTTGATATCACGAGCCCGACAAACTCGGTCACGTCCTGGACATTGCCCTGTACGGAATACTCCCACCGCCGTAAATCGTGTGAGTAGACCGACTACTCACAGGCATGTGGCCTCACGTTAAGGGCTTGGATGTTGCAGCTCCTTAGGGCTGGATATGATTTCCTTTTTCTAATAAAAACCGCTCCCTCGAGCATCTTATTTACATCGCCATCCGACATCGCATCAACCACTCGAAAAGAAACAAGAACCCTCAACAACCTCCCCTTCCCGGTCACATCAAGAAAAACATGAACCCTCACCGGAATGACCGAATACATGGACTTCCGTGCGGCCTCCAAGACCAACAGACAGCTCTGCGACCTGGCCAAACTGATCACCCTACGCCGGTTGCTACAGAGGTCTACAGAGACTATTCGATCGCAGCGAGGGTAGGCGGCCGTAGAGCCTTGGCTGAAGAGGATGATGTGGCGCATGCTAGCATGCGGGTTTCCGACTGGCACCACCACTCAGCGTGAAATTTACCACGATGTGGTTGTGCAGGGCTGCAGGTTGTATCATCAGTATCTGGTGACCCTTCTCCGTTCGTTTTGACGTAGGCGGCTGGGCTAGATAATAGTTTCCGCGCTGGCGGCATCGTGGGGGATGAACTCGAGCTGAGAAGGCCGCTTAAATGTACATACGGCTTAATGAAATTGATACCGCTGATCTGCCGAACCTATTGACGAGCTGTGACATGAACTCGAAACTTTGCCACATCTGAATCGGCGGGGCACCACTGGGTAAGTAGGTACGTAGGTACTTGTTCTGACAACTATGGTGCCTGCGGTCAAGTATCGTAGATGGGCAGCGCAGTGCGCTACGCTGGACCGTCCGGTAGCCCGCGACACGAACAGATCTCGGAGCTCACTCGATGCCGTGTTCCACCAGTGTTCGACATAGTCCAGTTCGTCCGTCCTGAGCTTCGCACGGGCTGGACTGTATCTTGGCAGTCCATCCGGGAGCGGTGTTTGGACGGACTAATCTAAAGTAATTATACCGTGCAAAATTGATGTCGGGTCACTTTTCTGGTGGGCTCATGACATCATCGATCTGCAGGAATCGTCCAATGCGTGCCGAAACTTCTTATATGGTAAATATATTCTCATTCAGTAGGCCTTATGCTACCTGCTACCTACTAGTTATATCTTGATATTTGTGATGTATCATCGCTAACAGCTAGCCCTACAGGAGTATACATCATTTTTGCTGTCCAGATCAAACTGTATCTGGACGATACCAAGGGATACGGCCATACCAAGCTGCATCGCATCTGGGATAATCTCGGCGATATCCCTAGATTCGAGAACCTGGGTATCAATGGATTCACCCTGCGTGCTCCAAGAATCAAGGCTCGTAAGCGCAAGCGGGAAGAGAGTCCGCTGTCAGAGGACATCTTTGAAGACATGGAGTACGGAGACAGTGACGGGCTTGGGGATTACGAGGACCCCAATGATATCTCAGAAATTGACTGTACTGAGGTGGATAAAAATTTGCATTACATGAATGTGCATCATATCGCTGTCTTTTTAAACTACTTCAGTGAATAACTACACGTTGCAGGGCATGACAGTACCTATCACTTACCAGACTCTAAAACATGGGCGTTATAAGAATTTCCCTGTGATGCGGAATATATCAGTCCAATTTTCGTATATGCACCATGTAGCTATAAGGGTGATAGAGCACATAGTTTGAATGAGGCTCATCGAAGACATATGCCATGTTTGTGAAGAAATCAAGCTTGTGATACTAAGGATTTTCTATCTTGGGCTGATATATCTCACAATGCTTCACAAAACCTACCAGTTTAACAGTCATTATTGTACGCCAGGGCTGTGCATTTAAATAATGACTATATTGGCCTGACGAATGCCTTCAGGCTTAGAAAGTGAGAAGGCCAATTTATGTGATAGTGGTTTTCGCTTCATAGGCACCATGTAGGAGTTGCAAGAATTCTAGGGTTATAAGAACATCAGCCTTATTTTAATATAAACCTTATGGGAAACCTTATCAGTAGGACGTGCTTATGAGTGGCTTATAGAAAGCCTGTAAAATTTCATCAACTTATACAAGGCTGACATAATGCCTCTGACCTAAGTACTAGGCTCTACATGGTACTGACCACTCCTCAGATATATTTCATCCAACCCCCCACCGTGACCATCTTTCTGACATGATGTCGCCAATCCCGAACGACCTTCCCATGACCTACACCTACATGGCCAGCATCCGCTGCCAGCTTCTGCGTCGCCGGGGCACTGATATGGAGGGCCGAGTAATGATCTTTTGTGATCATTACGCATACGGCAAGTGCGCTGCCAAGTGGGCACAAATGGGTCAGGAGAAGTACGTCAATGCTGGCAAGCTCCGCTGCGGGTGCGGCTACAAGTACTCCGATGAAAGCCTTGGCCGCGCCTCGCGAGAGGGTTGTCAAGTCCGAGTAATTCTCGGGCTTGCAGGGAAAGAAGGCTGGGCTGGCCGGGCCTTCTTTCCCTGGGACCGCGGAGGATTCCGCGAAGGGGAATCAGATTCCCATCACACGCAGTATAATGCCGCTTACACCACGTCGCAGCAGAGCGAACATCCAACAAAGTATCAGTCACGCAGCCTCTCCGGAGATCAATTGGGTCTACTCGCGCAGAATCCGCGTCCGAGCGGTGGCAATCCGTGTGTTTCCATTCTAGAAACCATCTCGCTCCGCCACCATGGCTCTATTTGCTGCCACTTACTGACACACGCGTACAGCCGAGTTGTCGACTACTCCAAGTTGACGAACTCCACGACTTCCAACATTCGAGAGATGGGTGCTGCACCTCAGATCTCGGGTTGCGAACTTCCGGTACACCGACGTCAAGCTCCCTGCTCGCCCAGTAGGCGTCACCATCAACACGTGCACGAACCAGTCGACGACAACGGACATGGATGGCGCCGCTTCGCCGAACCAAAAGACATCCACCACCACTTGCGATGGACTGAGTTCTGGTGGACTTCAGATTGATACGGCTGGTGAGCGAACTATGTTTCTTTATGGAGGATGTCTGTGTATTTTTGTTTGTGTTTAGTACTGTAGTTCTTCTTTCAATCAATGCTTGTTCTGTTCAACCGTGCGGAAGCCTATAATCGTGCTTGTAAGATTAACAGAACAAAGTGCTCACAAGGACTCGCTGGTACTAACGGGGGTTGTTTTCACTTGAGTTCGACGAGATTCCTACACGTCTGGTACACACCGGCGTGTGTTCCCACTCCACCCCAGAGGCTAAACTGCCATTCCGTTTACCTGATCCGCAGATATCCAAGACATATCTCGTAGATTACGTTGATTTATGTCGCCACCCTATCAGGTAATTCACCTATCATCTAACAAAAGATCTTCTATGGTGTACATAGGGCACGGTAACGACAACAGCAACAGATAAGACTTCGAAGCTTCCCGGCGGAATCAACCCCGGCAACCGCATACTCACTACACACAACATTGCCATCTAGCATATAAACAGCACCACGTCGATCTGTCAATTATACTGAGATCAATAACAGGATTGGTAGGAAGATAATTGTTGTCCGGACGGGCGGTTGACCGCGCTGTTCTGGTCCACATGACCCTCAACTGCGACCCCCACCAGTCTCAGTTCGTGAGGAGCTATTATCGACGGTGCTTGTATCGATCGTATCATCAGCACTGATTCTCTTCTCGCTGCATCAGACGCTTCGGGTGACTGGTCGGGCCGTGAGAGCGTGCCCCATCTTGAGCTGGTATCATCGTGCCACGAGACGTTTCAGGGCTTCGGCGGCGCTGGGTCGCCCGTCGCCGCCCCATGGCAGGAACTGACCCGTCTATGGGTGGTCTGGACTGCTGTTGAACGGAATCGCCTGGAATGTCTGCAATTCTGCGAAGCCCAACTACCGAGTGATGTCTGCATGACATCAACAGTCCGAGTGATATTTGGTAGTGAGTGACTGGGAATGTGGGAATGACGGAAGTGCACTCGTAGAGACACTCTGCAAAGGGCGAAATTCAAACACGATTACACATTAGGTACGTGGTAAACCTGGCGGGAGAATTACATATCTCCTGAAAAAGTGTTAAAAGTGATATTTGTCTATTCATGGTGGCAAGAGATACGGTTCTTTTGAGGTAGTGAGAAAAAGCTTTTCTCTAATGGCACCACAAAACGTGTTAGTTACAGAGTAGCGCCGGAAAATTGCGAGCAGACTGGCCTGCTCACAAACATGCCAGTGGACCGGTCTGCCCATAAAACCTTTCCCTACAGCCCGGCCACCTCGTATAACCAGTCACTTCGGCAGGGGGCGGGTTACTTGGTCTGGTGGCCGGTCAATTTATCAAATACTAGTTTTGCCTGGCAGGCTAGAACATATATGATAGACAAGACATAGCTAGCAGGAACGTAACCAATAGAAGGAAGCAATGCGAAAGAAAAAAGATGCGCGGACGATTCCCAGGCCTGCCTGGGAATCTGAATGCGCCCACCGTGAGCCTTGGGTTCGGCTTCTAGGTTCGGTCAGCTATGGGCAGAGGAAGAAGGCGAGTATCGCAGAATCATGAGTCACTCACCCACAGGTCCACGGCGTAAGACCCGCGAGTTAGACCCTTGGTGCTGCTGACCGAACTTTCGGAACTCTCGGCGGGACTCGCGGTAGTACTTGAGAGATGTTAACCCGAATGAACATTGTGAAAGTTAGATGGCGGAAGACTCACGACTCGCGGCATTGAAAACGCAATATATTTCTGTGTCGAAGAAGTATCAATGTTGGTGGCTGCCGCGCAGGGCTTTGTAAACGAGTATGTTGATGGTGATGATGACGAAGGATGGAGGGAGAGAAAGAAAGGAAGGGGGTTGACGTGCGAGAGAAAACGGCGCCGATGTGCGCTAATATTAGTCCCCGTTAGCGTATCGCCCATGCTAGCGTCTCGCCTATCGATTCGAAGGTTCGCTGATAAGATGATCGACTTATCTAAGCACCGCTGCCGCCGCCGTACATAGGATGGTGGATACGGATGACTGCCGGCAGGAAGGTGGTGGCCAGTCGTTATCCTTTAGGCGGCATGAGGAACTGCAAAGTGTAGGGCTGTGGGGATGTGTGAAAGGGATTCCAGATTCCAGCCACTGCGTACCACGGCTGGTCGCAACATCCTCTACGGCGCCACAAACATTCGGAGCTCACAGTTGTAGGGTAATGTATCATATTCTTCTGTCACAACCATAGAGTGACGACCTGAAGACGACAGACTGTCCGATTGCTTCCTGGCATCCAGGATGATTGTAGTTGTCCGCTCGTGTTGACAGTACATTTGAGGTCGGAATGTTTCCGCTCCTTGAGACTCGACATGATTTCCTTTTGCGATGCATAAATATCGCTCCCTCTCGCATCGTTTGCTCATTACCATCTGGTATCGCATCGGTCACTCCGAACGAACCATGAAGCCACAGCAGCCCGCTGTTCCCGTTCCAACCGAAGTCACTTTGATGATTATCGACGCGCTCCCCGGAATCCACGAATACCTCGACGTCCGCGACACCTCTTGGAGTAACAGAGAGATCTGTGACATGGCTACAATGGCCACCCTGCGTAGGTTGCTGCAGATGTCCACCGAGAGCTTTCGGTCGCAGCCAGGGGAGGCGGATCTAGAGCCATGGCTGATCAAGTTGCGGCGGCGCCTGGAAGAATGCAAGTTTCCGTCTGGCCCCGCCATGCAGCGGGCGTTCTTCGCAGATGTTGCTATGCAGGGAGACCGGTTGTGGTGGCGGAGGATGGGGGTCGATCGTTAGGAATTCCACGGACTGACCGGGCTGGATATTGCAAAGAAGCTGTATCCGTGCCGACGGCGTCTTGAACTTAGCTTAGGTGATGCCGAACGAGCCGCTTCGAGATAGGTAGTGATACTTTACCGATAGTAATACCGCCGATCGCAAGCCTGCCGAACCTATTGACGAGCTGTCACATGAACTCGAAACGCGGACACCACTGTGGGTAGGTATGCAGGCACCTGTTAATATAGCCATGGTTCCTGCAGTCGAGTATCGTAGGCAGCGGAGTGAGCTACGCTAGACCGTCCGGTAGCCCCCCACAGATCTCGGAGCTCTACCGATGCCATGTTCCACCACCGGGCACCTGATGATGACGTAGGTACTCGGCAAGATCGTGGGGCCCAAGCTGCAGCCTAGGAATGAAAGAACCAATGCCGTATAGAAGGATGATTGAGCTCTAGGCGGCACGACGAGTAAACCTCCGTGGCGGGAGGTGCGTCTTGCATTGCAATAGCAGCTTGGGATTGCGTGACGCACGAAGCCTACCGCTGCCACCGCCGCCGGCGTACAATGGTGGATGAGGATGATTGCAGGAGGCGGATCGTGATCAAGTCGACTTCCTGTGAGCGGCGATGTTGACTGTGCAGTGCACAGCCGTGTGATACGAAGTAAGACGGCAAAGGGGATTTCAGATTTCCCCCTGCAACTCCTGAATCAGCATGCAACTCAAAGCCAAGGTGGGGGTGCTACTTACATCCCATAGTTCCAGCGGATAAGGGGCAAGGTGTGTCACTTGTAATAGCGAGATCCATCATTCAGTGAGAACTGAGTCACCGTAATTCACGATATCCAAGTCAAATTGGATATGTGCCAGGCCTTGTTGATCGAGCCTAAGGAGTGGCACTGGCTGGTAGTGGTGGATGAGAGCGAGTGCCAGCAGGACAGGCGACGCCAGACAATGGTGGATGAGAGTGAATGCCGGCGGAGGCGCGTAACCAGTCGACTTCCTCTGGCCAGCGCGAGGAACTGCGAAGTGCCAGGCCGTGCGAATACGTAGTCCAAAGGCGATGGGAATTCCAGATTCCAGTCACTGCGACTCCTGAAATCAGCATGCAGCCCAAAACCAAGACAGAAATGCTACTTACATATTATGGTTCAGGCGGCTAAGTCATGAAGGGCCATCCCAGGTGTGTCAAGGGACCACTGATGATCGCCGCGCAGTGGAGTGAGCTGACCGAGTCGATGAAGGGCACCCCCGGAAAAGGCCGTATGAGAGAGTATATCGGCAGGAGGGGCGCCACCATATATGAGTGCCGGCAGAGGAATATGAGTTGTCGCCATACTCTCGGCAGCGCGAGAGACTGCGAAGCACATGGCTGTATGTATATGCAGTTTCCAGCCGAAGGGGAATCCATATCCTAGCCACTACGCCTCTTTGTGCAGCATGGCTATTAGATGTATCAAAAACGTGTGGCTTACATTGTAAAGCTCCGATGGCCAAGCGGTAAGGCGCGTCACTTGTAATGACGAGATCCGTGGTTCAAATCCGCGTCGGAGCTTCACAGCACCTTTTGCCACTTTGATGATATTTTGTTTTGCTCTGCGTCTGTTCGCCGAGTGTACGAGGTATCTACGGATTGCTACTAGCGGGAAAGGAAGGAAAGAAATAATCGTGAATCCGGAAATTGAGCTGCAGCCTTCACCTACCTACCAGCTATAAACACCTCGTCTTGTCCTTTCGACACATGGCTATAGCTGCCCACCATCCGCAGCTTTTTTTTTTGTTAATTCATCGATTGCGTGTGACCTATCTAGATCATGGCAATATCTACCCGTTCGCCCCCCCGTTTCCCTGCCACTGTCCAATCCAACTTTCGTCAGGCGGCCCGATGTGGCTTTCCCTACCCCCGCCGTGGCCTGTCCCGAAGATATATGAGCGCACCAAAGAAATGACACTAGGAAAAAACCATCCGCAGCTTTTGGAAATGGGAAAACAAGGAGGAGAGTTACGACGAGTGACGGATGATGCGTATCATGGAGGAGCAGGAGGAAGGGTTTAACGACACACGCCGTTATCACTTTGCGTCACAGATATGGGTAGATCGATTAATGGTATTATCGATATCGCGAGAGAGAGAACGCCAATTCCTTGTCGCAGAGGGCCCTATTAGACTATGCCCCCCCGCCTCCCAGTCCTTTCCTGCCAGCCCCGCGAGAGCAAAAATAAATCTCTGTCGTCGCGGTTCGATGCTGCGCCGCTGCCGACCGAAATCCGAGAGCCAACGAGAAAAGAAAGAGAAAAAGAAATAAACAACGAGGACCGCAGCCTCGCACTCCCGTTCTCGCCCCCTCTCGCCCTCCTTTTCGGCCTCCTCATCTCTTGGGATTTTTGTCCCCACGTCCGTTGTTTTGAGGTGTTCAGAGCATCACTCATCGGCGAACATGTTTATCATGCTCCGCTTCCTCTTCCCTGTTCGCGTCTTTTGTCGTCCTTGTGTACATCGCCGTCTGCTGGGCTCGCCATTTTCTCTGGATGATGCTTGGAGAGCGTGATACTGTCCTGGGCATATTTCGCATGTCTTAATTCGCTTCGTGGCGGCTTGGGAATCAGTGAATATGGCGACCCTGGTGAGGCGAGTGCCGCGTTGGATCTCTTGTGCTGCCGCTGTCTTGGAGGCCCCGAAAATGGCTGCGCACTCGGCGTCATATGCTTCTTGCTTAAGTCCCATATGCGTCCCGACTCCCGATGCCTCTCTAGTTTCCGTCTCCTCCCTTCCACACCGTCGCATACCCGCTCGCTCCGTCTCGCGCTTTGCCGAGCCCTAGCCGTAGGGAAAGCCGTCGTCGTATGTCGCTTTAAGCTCCGATAATGTCCCCAGCATGTTCTCCTCGGGGAAGGGCGGCTGATTTCAGGGCGGCTCGCCTCGTGCGGTTGTTGAGGAGTGATTCGCCCGGCCGAAGTGGTTGGCATTGGTAGTGATTGGCGGCGGCGAGGCGTGTGAACGGCATCGGTAAGGACGCCGGTGGTCGTGGTACGGAAGCCGGTGGTCGTGGTAAGGATGATGGTGCTCGTGGTATGGAAGCTGTGCTTGTGATACGGAAGCCGGTGATCGTCGTACGACAGTAAATACGCGTGGAGAGTTTGGTGCTCGTGGTACGGAAGGTAGTGCTCTTGGTACGGGGGCCGGTACGGAAGATTCCATCGCTACTCGATCTCGTTGCTTGGAATACTCGTAGCTATCTCGGTGTAGTTTGATGAGCATCATTCATGAACCGTGAACGCCTTGGAAGATGTTAGCAATCGACAATCTAGGTCCGAAGCAGAAAGCACATACCCGCTCGACCGCGAATCCAGCCGCTCATTTCCTACCGGTACCGACGTAGGATGTTGCCAGGCCCACCATGGGCACCCTCCTCTTCACCGGCGCACACCTGTTGTCGTTTTTGTCGGAAGCGACAACGTTGCGGCGAGCCACCTGCGGCATCTCCTCACGGTTTCTCCCCGCCGTTTCCAATTGCTGCGCTGTACTCTCTGTAGGCGTCGGTATACGTTTTGTAGGCATCGCGCTTCGTCTGGTGGGCTTTGCGGTCCTTTTTGTCGGCTTTGAGGTTGACGCGATTCGCTTCGAAGTATCGTCTCTCGGCTTCGAGGTAGTTTTTGTACGCCTCGCTGCTCTTTATGTACGCTTCGAGATCCTTCTTGTAGACTCCAAGGTCCTCTCGGTATGTTTCGCCCTTCTTTCTGTGCGCTTCGCCCCTCTTTCGGTCGCCTCCGGGGTTGCCTTCGAGGTTGGCCTTGCGTTTGGCTTCGGGACTGGCTTTGCGCTTGGCCTCGAAGAGGGCTTCGAAGTGGTCTTTGCGTTTGGCCGGGCAGTTGGCTTCGTATTTATTTTCGAAGATCCAACCGAGGTGAGCTTCGTGGTTGGCTTCGTGGTTGGCTTCGAAGTGGGATTTGTGTTTAGCCGTAGGATTGGCTTCGGGATAGAGTTCGAGGTTCGCTTCGCGGCTGGCTTCGAGGTTGGCTTCGTGATTGTCTTCAGGTATGGCTTCGTGGTTGGCTTTGGGACAGGCCTCGAGGTTGATTTTGGGACAGGCCTCGAGGTTGGCTTTGCGACTAGCTTCGGGGATGGTTTCGGCGTCGGCTTTACGTTTAGCCGCCGGGCTGGCTTGTCGGCTGGCCTTGCGTTTGAATCGCGGGTTGGCTTCGCGATTGTCTTCAGGGATGGCTTCTCGGTGGGCTTCAAGCTTGGATTCTCGGTTGTCCTTGAGTTTCGCTTCGGGATTGACATTGCGTCTGGCTTCGAGATTGGCTTCGAGATTGGCTTCGAGATTGGCTTCGAGATTGGCTTCGAGATTGGCTTCGAGATTGGCTTCAAAGGTTGCTTTGTATTTGGCATCTCGGATTGCTTCGTGTCGCTTGGCCGTGGATTTAACGTCTTGGGCTACGGCGATGGTCTCGAGATCCTCCGCGCCGGACACGCGGTTGCTATCGAGAAACTGGGACATTGTGCACTTAAGTATTCGAGGCCTCTAGGTCGAAAGATTGAAAGAGGAGTGAGTACTGATAGGGTGTGGACAAACGATTGGCGAATGTTTTGTTTATGATGGGGTGCGGCGGATGTGGGGTTGTGGGGTGCGGAGTAATGGGTTCGTGGGTGAACGAGCCAGAGCCCGCCACGCGTCGATGGACTCTGGAGGGCTCTCTCCGCATTTTCACACCATGCTTAAACAGAATGGTGAATGCAGCTAAGTTGTGCGGCTCAAAGTCACGTGGGAGCTATTTATCCTTCATAGCTCCCGCGGACCCGTCTGGAGCTGCTGCGGTTCCCCGCCAACACACCAGTACGTAACCGAACAGCACGAATCTAACCTGCGCCCGCGACCGATAAACAGAGGGATTTACTGTATCCGTCCGACTGCCTTGGGCATCCTGCGTGTTGGTGGACAACTATGTATCAACTGGTCATGGCGGCATTAAACAACTTCTGTGGTTGTACTCAGGGAAGGGGCAAGGGATGAATGATTGATTGGTTGATTGATTCGAATCTAATGAATGAGTCCCGTTTAGCGAAAAGTAATGAGCACCAATTACATGCGCGACCCAGTTGGCCACGGCCGGGTTTTAGACGTTAGCTATCACTCATGTTCCCGGAAGATGCGCAATATTATTTTCACTAGCGAGGGGGAGACAGGCTCTGTAACTTCCACGGTCTATTGAGGACGAATGCAATGATCAAATAGTAACCCCGCTGACAATCCCTCCCACACAGAACAAACGAGTGACTCCGTGAAGTTTTGGATCATGCCTCTTCGCCCCAGACCACCCACCCACCAGCCCGACCATCACCGTCTCACGAAGCCTCGCCATGAAAAAGTAGAAAATAGAGAAACGTCCTAAACGTCTCGAGCAGCGACACCTCTAAGTCCTCCAGCTCCTCGCCCTCCAAGTATTCGCTATCGTCCTCCAAGTACCGGTAGTCTTTATCGTCAGCTATCACCGAATCCTCCTCCACCTCCACCTCCTTCTCCGCTACAACCACCACTAATTTCTTCCCCCCATACCCCTCATCTTCGTCATACTTCTCTACCACACCCTCATACTCCTCCCGGTCCTCCTCCTCCTCGTCGTCCGCGTCCTCCTCCTCCTCCTCATGCACAGTATACAGCTCAACATTCTTCACCGGAACATCCGGCAGCTCACTGGCAGGCGCGGCATAGAGCGGTCGTATGCGCGAGGCGCTATTCGTGCGCCGTGCGTAATCGACCGCAACTGCGGAGGGCGTGATGTGCAGCGTCGTGGTATCAACGGAGTACCGGTGCCTGGCGACCTTGCCGCGCACAAAGATCTCGTCTTTGGTGAGCGCTGGGAGAGGGGTTAATGGGATTCGGAGCAGGATGAGGAGGATGGGAGAGGGAGGAGGGCTGGGGAAGCTGGGGATATGGGGAAATGGGAGGATTGAAGGATGCGTGGGGAAGATGCATGGGGAAGACGGACTGTTATTCATCACTGGGCACAGTTCGTCGTCCGTGATGGTTAGGCGGAGGAGGAGGAAGGGGAACGTGGTCGGCTGCTGTGGGGATTGGTGATGCCGGGACTTGTGATGGGGCGACTTGTGATGCGGAGACCGGTGCTGCAAAGTCGGATGCTTCGAGATGCGGGTCTGGGGAGTCGCTGCTCGTGGGGAGTCCGGGGAGTGCGGGCAAGTGGACATGATTTTGATGCTGATGGTGCGATTGAGAAGCTCTTCCCCGCCACAGATGAGAAGCCAAGAGGATGTGTCAGAGAGGGATGGATGGAGGGGTTAATCGTTATCGACCAGAGCGGAGGGTAGACACTGGAGATGATTGGATCTCTGGTTGGATATGGATATGGACATGGTCGGCCGGAATAGGCGACCAAACCCCTTGCATTGCGACAAGGCGAACCTAGCGTTCAACGTCGGATGCAACCGGCCTGGAGAAGACACTATCCTCCCAAAAGAGCTCCAAAATCACCGGCTACAAGATCTCGGGATTGATGCTATTACTGCTGCTAGCGAAGCTTCCTCGAGGTGAGACATTTTGGCCGTCGTGGTAATTAGGTTACTCTACTGTTGCCGATCAGCTATCGGCAACCGTGAGCGAAAGTAAAAATGAAGAACATACCGAGCCGACGCGTCGCCGTGAACCTTCTTGCTAGATAACGGTAGTGTTCGTAACCTGAACTCGCATATACCCGAAATATCATGGTTTGGCCGATGAAGTCACCGAAAGAATTGCCTTCACGCCGAAGTCGAGCATAAGCTCTGGAGTAAATACTCTAATCGTGTCGAGATTATGAGCTCGGGCGAGTCTCCATTGATAAACTTTACGCGTATAGTCAAAACCCATGCCGAATGTGACATCTCCGGACTCATCGCGAAATACCGAGTTGACGATCCTGCATCAACCCCTAACGAATGTGCTGGGCTACCAGGCTATTCATTCCCATATCCAGATTTCCAGAATGCGGAACCCAGGGTCAACACACCTACTCCCCCCCCCCCCCCCCCCCCCACCACCCCACTTCCCCTGTTTCCCGCGCCGCCCTGACGGTGCAATGACGTGAGATCCGTGGCGAATCTGCGGTATCGCTACTTCAAGCGGTTAGGTAGCCACGTCTGCACGCAGGGGCTGTGTGGATTCACTGCGACGGCTTTGACGAGCGATAAAACTGCACCGAAGTACCAGCTGAAACCCGTCCCTGCGGATCCAGCACACCCACCACACCCACCCAGCAATAAACCGCTCGAATAGTCGAATAGTCGCCCTCCACGCCTACCCGGTCAAAACAGCCGCTGCTTCACAGACACGATTAACTGGCACATCCGCAGCATCGACAGAATTTCCAGCCAAAAGAATCGGTAGGCACGGCATTCTAGCGTGTGACGTTACGCGACCACGCGGAGCCGTACGAGACGTTCGCAACCATGGTTGCGGTGTCTGAAACTAACTTTGGAATCGCATCTGGAGGAATTGTATGGCTGAGGGGCTGAGGGCTCAGGGCCGAAGGTTGTCGCGACTCGTCAGGGCGATCCCAAAGCAGATGGAGAAGTAGAGGAATCTTGGGAAGAAGGCACAGGCTATGGCTGGATACAACTAACTCCACCTCTAGATACCCCATAGGAGCATCCGCTACCTAAGTCTATTCACCTCGTACAAATGCCCATACAGTACATGATCATAATCATGAATTGGCACTCGCTACGGTTTCGCGATTGATCTGGATTTCTGCTATATGGTAGTTATCGAAAGGGGATAGGGAGGGGTAAGGAGGGGTAATAGTCACTGCATGATCAGTGGCAGCTTCGCAGATAAACAGCGTAGCTAGGCCATCGTGGACTCTCGCGATCATCCCGTCACCCCTAGTGATGTTTGCAGGCGGTTCCCGGGGGTGGCTGTGGAAGAAACGGCCAGCGATGCGGCAGACTGGGAGATCGGGTTGAGGGAAGAGGGAGAGAAGCAGCAGAGCACTGGAATTTACCTACCGCCGGTGTCTTCTGGGGCCTCCGTCTCCCCCGTTCGGCTTACCTTCTTGCCTTTACTCTGGCTCTGACTATGTCCCGTCTATTGTTGTTACTGGGGTTTGGTAGGCTGATCATTGGGGCAAGTAGGCCGCGTGGGGTCGGTCGTTGGACAATCACCACTTCTTCTGCTAGACCGAGACATGTCCTCCGGATGATACCATGTAGCGAAGCGACATTGAGCGGCGGTGAAAGAGACAGAGCAGTGAGAGACAGAGCAGTGGGAGACAGCGCAGTGAGAGACAGAGCTGAGGGATAGCGGAAGAAACTGAGGTGTATTGCCCAGGTGAAGAGAGGTAATTCTGGGGCTCGCAGGGCGGGTAAATAAGAGGTTTATTATTGGCTGCGAGTGATATGTAGTAAACCAGGATCACACTGAGTAGGAGCCGCTCACTCGCCCCACGACACAAGTGCCGAAACGTAAGTGGATTTCGGGTTACCACTCACCTTTTGACGTTGTGCATCACAACCACCACAACAACATTCGTTCTACAACCATCCTCCACCACAACATTCCCTCTTCCCTCTTCCCTCTCCCCTCCACCATTACCCCAACGGTCGCTCTACCCCCAACTCCCCTGCACACTCTTTCTTTGTACTCACACCTCCTTCCACTCCGCTCTATCAATGTCGTCCTCCGCAAACATCAAGCCGGTCGCCGCCGAGGTAGCTCACGCCGAAAAGACTTCCCCGGTATCCGTTGTCCTCGAGCAAGCTGCTGGATCCGAAGAAGCTTCCGAAGGAAAGGTCGATTCTTCTATCAACCATCGTCCGGACGAGATCGTAGAGCAGTCGGCAGAGAAAATCACCGAAGAGCCTGTCGACATCGCCGCCGGAAAGGCTACCGACCAAGCTGTCGCGCAGACCGGAGAGGCTAATGCTTCTGTCGTTGAAGGCCTGATCAAGGAGGAATCACCGGATGAGGATGAAGGCTTGATCAAAAACACCGTTGATTTCTTCAGTCTGGGTGTGAAGGATGAATCAGGGGATTTCCTTTCAGCACCCAACGAACCGACCTTTGGCCAAGCAGTTGCGAAGGCGGTCGAGAAAATTATGGAACATACCATCGACAGGATCCTTCGGCTGGTGTTGGATAGGATCATGCAGGAAATTAACGCGACGTCTCTTGACGGGGATGACGAGACCAACGGCGAGGCTGGGGCTTCTGCTAATGAGGATGGCCCCGACAAGCTCATCGTTGAGTTTCCCTTCCGTCTGATTAAGAAGGAAGTGTATATCCTGTCCGTCACCAACAACCAGGCTATCGCGAAGAACGCCGAGCGGATCGTTATAAAGATCATCGACAAAATTGTCCAGAAGATTAAAGAGCAGACTTTTGAGGAGGCTGAGGCTGGCGAGCAGGCTGCGGCTTTCGAGGAGGCTGCGGCTGTGGCCACCGACGAGATCAATGCTTGTGTCAACGATGTCGTGGAGGAGATGATTGCTGGCTCCTCCGATCTCCTTTCCGAAGATGAACCGAGCAACGTCCCTTCCGCGACTGCTGAGGACATCGATAACCAGATGGCCGAGCCGACCACGGTGCAGCCGACTGGCGACGCTTCTGCCGACGAGATCGCCGTTGATCCCAGCGAAAACCGTCTTCCACGCGATGCGTCGTTCCAGCATCTCCTTGAAGATCCCGTCCAGCAGGTGGCCGTGGTGCACCTCCTTGAAGACCCTAGCCAGCTGGTGGCCGCCAAGCACTTCGTCGAGCTGACCGACGAGCAGAACAACACGACCAGGCACATCACGATGGACGATTTGCTCTCCATTCTCGACTTGGACAGCGTGCGGATCGACCCTGCGTTCGCCAAAAAGTGTTACACGGGCTTCATCTTGTCCGAGATCGCTAAAACAAAGGCCACCGAAGAGCTGAAAGTTGCGCTCCGTAAAAACAGAGTCTTGGAAGAACAGCTGGACGGCTTCCGAAACATCAACGCGAAGATGGTAGCGAGAATGCTTGACGATGTCAAGCAGAAGAGAGATATGGCAAAGGTATATCCAAAATGGGAGCAGGTGGGGACAGCGATGAGGATGGCAGCTAACAAGTGGTAGACTATGGAACGACAGCTACAAGAGGTTCAAGTTTTGCGCCAGGCTACTAAAAGTGGCTGCGACCTGCCGAAATGAACTGAAGCGGCCAAGGCAGCTTCGGTTTCAGGAGTGTTTGTTGTCTGGGGCGTATGGGGAAAATGAGGTTGTCTTTCGATTGTTTACTCACCAATAAACGTTCGGTTTAGTGGCTCTTAATAGTCCGGTTCTCAGAGATGAGTTGGTAAACGTTCGAAGTGAAACAATTGTAGCCGGCCGTGAAGCACAAAGCCCCAGACCAGGAAGGTCACGATGACGAGGCAACTGGTAGCCATGCTCAGAGAACTGGGCTTTCAAAGTCGAGGATCCTCATGTAGGTATTTGGAGCGGGAGTGGGATAGGACTGGACAGAGTAGCGGAATAGCGGAGGAGTGTTTCGCGCGAAGCCTTGACGTATGTCGGTAACGACTGTCCGCCATTAACTATTGTCTGATAAGATAAGCCCATCTCGTGACAGGCCACGATCATTAGCACCGACCAGCCTTTCGCGCCCACTACATTCACCCCACCCCTGCGCAGATCTGGGAGTGCCTAGTGTAACTGACCTCCCTTGCCTCGCCCGACGATGTCAGACGCCTCGTCCCACGATGTCTGACGGGCCCCATCGATGGCCCGGAACGGCCCGGTCCTGAAGCTTTCCCGAAATCAAGGGGACACAAACAATGAGGGGAAATGGGTGAAAAAGTCAATTTCAAGGACTGGCTTTCGAGGTATGGTTTCTGAAGAGGTGGAATACGCGTACTCTGGAGAACAACGTAAAAATGAGTCAATCGAAACCGAGTTCTAGATTCCCAAGGAGGTCAAAGAAACCTTTTTTTGTTTCACGGCAAAAGTCTATAATGCCATAGGTTTTGGCACAATAGTATAATGCCATAGTTTTTTCGACGTTTCAAACCAACCAGACTAGTCCGTCCGCACACCGCTCCCGGACGAACTACCGAGCTACAGTCCAATCCGGTCTGAGGCCCAGGACGGAGGGACTGGACTATGTAGACACTGAAATCAACAGCAACCATCCAGGCAGTGTAGTTCAGATGGAGAATACCCGTTTAGGATGGCAGAGCAGGCCTGGAAATCGTCCGTTCAGTCCGTCTTGGACTATGCCCCGGACGGGACCGAATTTGTCGGGCCTGGCATATCAACGACTGTAGGGCTCCGGGCAAGCCAGAGGAGGACTGAAGCCCCATTGGGGACCGGAGAATATGCCGCTACTGGTACTAGTCGTGGCATAGTGGCGCAGCAGGCTGCCACTGGGATCGGATGGAAAATTTCCGCAGAACTCACGGATGAAATTTCGGGTTTCAGGTTAGCCGGCACCGCACTGAACGTTCCCGGGTCCGGGCTTTTTGGACCTGGGACTGAACCCGACTCGTCCGGCAAATCCTCGCCCCAGACGGGATCGAGTTGCCGGGCCCCAATTGTCTTCCGTCCGGACGGACTATTCCCAGGCCTGTGGCAGAGTATTTGGGGCGTTAAGTAATCATACTCTTTTGCGATGGCCCTTTCACTAATGCCTCTCCAGGCCGGAAGTGGATCGTGAGAAGGAGAACACACAAGGGGGCATAGAGGATTTAGAGTGGTGGTGTGTGTTTGAGTGGTGGTTGGTTTGAAACGTCAAAAAAAACTATGGCATTATAGACATTTTCCCAAAACTATCGCATTATAGACTACTGTGCCAAAAACTATGACATTATAGACGTTTGCCGTTTGTTTAATCATCGTTGCCTTCGACCTTAACAGATCATGACAGATTATATAAGCTTTTTCAGTAATTGCTTGCGACCAATGTAGATCATAGCACACACTCCGGTTCCCCGCCACTGTCCGACCCGACTTTCATCGAGTAGCCCGATGTGGCTTTCCCTGCCCACCGCCTCCGCCTGTCCCCGTAATGAAGATAGAGCGCACTAAGGATATAACCTCTCCATGCCCCCCTCCGCCTGCTGCTTCTTCCAAAAGGGGTACCATGGAAGAAGGTGTGGGGAGGAACAGCGAGACTGAGCCCGGCTCCTCAACCTCAGCACCCTCCTCCTCCTCACGCCTGAGCTCAGCCTCCCTTTCTTCCTGCTCCCCGAGTTCCCACTCGGAGACCTCACTGTCTGTATCTTCCTCAGCGGCCTCAGGCATTCTAACCAGGGCGGTCAACCGTCCGTCCGTCGTCCCGTCCCGAGCAGGTTTTCCAGAGGACTGACATCCCGTCCGGAGGTACGGAGGATGAAATGCCCGGATACCCGACATACTATGATGAATACCAGTTTACGGAGTAGTACATAGCGCGGTGGCTACCAAAAGAATTTTCAGAGTGGTCAAACAGGCGCGGGGGATAAACAAGTGCTGGAGGTAGGAACGGGGATGGTGTGAAAGTTCAACACCGTGAGAGCCACTGTGAAATACAGGTGCACAGCCACACATCCACACACGGGCACCGCCGTGTGGCGTCACGCCGCTAGCAGTGTCCTAATGTCCCAGTCCATTCCGGGCTTTGCAGGGTATCCGTCATCAATTCGCCAGCCCGGAAGACTACATATAGTCCTTGTTCTCCTCAGCCCGACTAATTGCGTCCCGTCTCGGGCAACCCCAAAGACGGACTGGACGGACAGTTGACCGCTCTAATTCTAACGCCTCATCTCTTGCCCCGCATACCGGGATCTCCGGCCGTTCGCTGCGTGCCCTTTCCTCAACTCTGGCTCTCATTGTGTCCCAGTCTATTACGAGGCCGAAGCAACGAAGTGAGTGAATCCATACTGTATGACGGAGATCCACAGCAGTGATCGCGAAGGAGCTTTACCTGACGGTCCCCACAAATCGAAGGATCCGAATTTCGGGCAGAAATAGGCAGCTCTAGTAGGTAGCCGATAATTCCATGACCGAAAGTCACCATTCGGTCCTTAATGCAACCACTTCGATTACGTTGACCGAAAGACCGATGTCTAGCACCGTGTGACGCAATCGTGGGGAACCGTAACACATACAATGCAGCCGCAGACACTCCTCCACTCCCAACAATCAACAACCACACTCTGGCTCGAGCCAAAACAACCGCACTCTGGCACCAGCTTCAACAACCTATAAGAAATTAAGCATCCGATGCCTTCGGAAATTTTTCGTGCCTACGCCTAACTCTAATGGCTCCCACCTTTAAGCCCGACCTTCCTCCTCAAGAAGGAAGGGATCCTCCCAGTCCACCGTCGACATCGTACCCGCGAGAAGACACAGAGCAGTCGAAACCAGATGATGCACCACGAGGCAACCAACATGTGAGCTGCAGCCACCTCTGACGTCGTGAATTGCCAGTGGGCACACGGTATCCGCATCTGCCTATGCAGCACTGACACTACGGCTACTAGACTATGAACATTTCCTCCGTACTTAATCCACGAGAGACAACACCACGCATCTCCGGCCAGCAACCGCACATCCCCGACCGGACACCGCACATCTTCGATCATCGATCCGATCGGGAACGCAGAAACACTGGCAAACCACATGACCCCCAGAACCAGACTCCCGTTATTCCAACCGCTCCCTCGGGGGAAGCCCAAACGCCCCCGGAGCCTGTCCCATCGAATGTGTTCCATCCGACGAATCATCCATCGATGCCACCACCCGAATTCCAGGCGCGCGCATCATCCCAAGAAGGCCCATGGCAAACCGTCAAGGGATGGCCTCTGATACCGCTACGGCCCGCACGACTGCCGGAAAGATCTCGGCCACCGTCGAAGGCCCGAAGAGTTTCGTACCCACCCGCACGGACAGACGAACAGCCACAGCGACAGCCACAGCCACAGCGACAGCCACAGCCACAGCCACAGCCAAGCGCATTCGTACAGGTACCGCTCCAGCTACCGCCCCAGGTACAGTGGCAGCCCGCCGCACTCGCTCCGCCCCAGCCACGGCCCCCGACAGACGCACGAGGATGGGCACAGCTAAAAGTGGACCAAAGGAAATTTCAGCGCGAGGGCTGCCGGTGGGGCCGCACGGAGGTGGAGGAGCTGATGCGGCAGATCATCGAGGTGTGGAGTCTCCGCGCCACCATGACTCTGAATAACGAAGAGTGGGTGAAAATACGCGACGGGTTGGCGAAGAAGGGTTTTAGCCGGACGGCGGGGGCCTGTCAGCAACGACTCGTGCGGGAGATCGAGCTCGATCGGGAGGGTAGAAGCCTGGTCAGCGGGTCTGAACTTTTGCAGAAAGTCAAAAAGCTGAAGTGTTCGTTGATTGCGTCCGGATCGGGTTGTGCTCTACCTGTTAACATTGATGGCCAGATGTCAGAAGTCAAAACGGGCCCCATTTCCAGCCTCCTGCTGGACCGCGAGCACCGGCGACACCTAATGTATCTCCTGCTGGTCGTACGCAGATGCCGTCCTTGCCCGGTGGGAAGAATCGACGGGTCGCGCGCGAGGTGCCGAGGGGTGGAAGGTCAGCGGCTACTTCGGAGAAGAGACCGCAGCCCGGTACCTCCACGTTTCAACTGAGTCCGTGGGCACCGCCAGCTACTCTGTCCGCGGCTCCTCCGGAGATAAGGCCATTCGGTGGTGCGTATAACCCCCGGGCTGGTCCCTCCTCGTTCGACCGAAAGCCATGGGTACCGCCAGCTCCTACATCAGCGACGAATCCTGACAGTACCATCTTGCTGACCATGCCACCGGATCCTGCTAGGCCGGGAGGGCCGCCGGCCCCCAGTCTCCCCCTTGCTGGCTCAAGATCGTGGGAGACGCCGCCGGGGGGAGGAAATTGGAGCTTCAAACAGGGTTTGGGGGTGGATGGAGGGCCAGCGGCTACTCCGGAGACGAGACAGCAGGCCGGTACCTCTACGTTGCAACTGAATCCGTGGGCGCCGCCAGCTACTCCATCCGTGGCTCCCCCAGAGACAGGATCATCCGTTGCTGGTTCCAAACTGCAGGCCAGTTCCTCCACGTTCGACCAAAATCCACGGTTATCGTCAGTTCCTCCATCGGCGACACATCCCGCCATTGCCACCCCACGGACTCCCAGTTTCATTAGTGTTGGACCTTCACAGTGGGCGCCTCTGCCCGGTATAGGAACGTGGAGCGGCATGCAAAATCCGGTGAAGGGTAAAGCACCAGCGGTGAACAGACCGTTCCATGATGGTTACAAACGCCAGGACCGTCCTTCCACTTCCGACCGAAAGCCATACGAAAAGCCGGCTCCTCCATCCGCCGCGAATCGCTCCGAAGCCATTATCCCACCGACAGTGCCGCCTCCCGCTTTGTTGGCGCCTCTCAACTTACCTTCTCCTCGCCGTGGATCGCAGGGGTCTCCGGCGGATCTCGAAATGTGGAGCGCCGCGCAGCGGCGGTTGCTGGCTGGAGAGACTGCGGCTACGCATGCGACGAGACCATCAGGTGATGGGGACAGACTCCAAGCCGTCCTTCCCCCGTTCGATCGACTACCATGGGAACCGATGCATCTTCCATCTCCGGCACTTGCGTCTCACGCTCTTCCTCCTCTGGCTCGTTCACCTCCGGCTCTTCCATCTCCGGCTCTTCTTTCCCCGACTATATCAGACCCTAGACCACTCAGCGATGGTGGTGCTTACAAACCGAAGCCCAGTCCACCCAAGGACAATTGCCAAGCAGCCGTACCGTCGGCTCTTCCATCTCCGGCAGCTTCGGAGGGGAGACTATCTGGAGAAGGGGGTGAGGTGGGAAGGAATGGAAGGGAAGGAAAACACGAAGGAGAAAGCGGAGGAGGACAAGAAGCAGCACGTGACGGAGGACAAGAAGGAGTACACGAAGGAGGACACGAAGGGGAAAGCGAAGGAGGAAGCGAAGGTGGACAAGCAGAAATGCCGGTGGCAGGAGAAAAATAATACAAAAGTAATACAGGAAGGAGTTAGGGAGCGTTTTTTACACACGAAATAATGACTTAATTACAAGACGAAATGCAGGAAGCAGGACAAGCAGGAGGACGTGTACAATACCTACAGGCGTTAGTTTTTTGTCAGAATATGGGACGTCCGGAGATGACGATGTCTCCAGCGTAAAGGGATTGATGCAGAGGTTGTCTGGTTTATGAAGCTTGTGTATAGTATAGAGACAGCTCGCTGCTCATGATGTTGCTGCTGTATCGAATACTACTATATTGTCATGTTTATCTACCTCTTATATTCAACAGGTTAGATATGAGCCCGGGTTTGACGCTGAACCCATTATAATACATATCTAACGATGATCACTGCTTCAGTCGAGTCGCACTCGCTTCTACACCTTACTCTTAACTCTTCTCACGCGTCGGCAACTCGAGGCGAAGTCTTTCCGCTTAGACTCGGCAAATGGAAGAACGACATGGCCATGGTCCTCAGCGGCGAAGACGCGCTCGAAATTGCACTCTGTAGGAAAGAAGATCTTCCCAATGCGAATGCGCAGGTAATTACATCTATGAAAAGGCTTCTGACGAAGCGCACGCGCGGCGACGATTATCTAGGTACACCCAGGTACAGTCCAGTCCGGTCCGAGGCCCAGGACGGACGGACCGGGCTGCGTATGTCGAACACTGGGTCTAGGCATGATAATAGTTTTTACACAAGCAATAATTTTCTATCTAATCTCGCCATTAGTTCGCAAGCGGCACACTCGTCACTCGTCACTCGTGCAACTGGCCATCGTCACCAACAATTCACTTCTATTGAAATCCGCCCGATTTACGCAAGCTTAGATAAAATAACACACGTGTACCGTTCTCCACCGTTCTGCACCTTCCATCTACCATCTGTATTCCCTGTTCCTCACGAACACCCCGAAATCCCCAGCGCCGCCGCGGTCGTCGACCCCAGCCCGACCCAAGCTCTCATTGCATTGACAATGCTGATGTCCCTATGGACACGGGTATACTTCCCACCAGCCAGACTAGTATACCCACACGCTGCCGCTACATACGCGGGATCCTTCACGACTCCCTTACAAGTAGTGAGCGACTGAGTCCCGGTGTACTGGGTAGCGCAGTCACTCAAGCCGTCAGGAAAGCCGTTCGCACCGTTATCGGCAAAGACCCACGACGACAGGACGAGCTTGATGCGCCAGTCGGCGTCGGTGCGCGAGAACAGCAGCGTCTCGAAGCTGCGGTGCTTCGCGATGTCCTTGTCTTTAACGAGAACCGACCCTTGGTCCCCCATGTCCCGCGAGCTGGAGCCCTCGCCTTGTTGGTCGTGGTCGTCGTTTTGGATCGCGAAGCGAGAGGCGGGGATGATCCAGCTGCCGCAGATGGGGAATTCTTTCGGGTAGTCTACCGCCGTTCGTTAGCTATGGTTTGGCCTAAATTAGGTGGGGGGAGCAGAAACGCACCCGCACTCCAGATCTTGATCTTCTCAATATCCGTGGCGCTCAGACCCGCGGCGGAGAGGCGGGTATTGAAGTTGGTGTACCAACTCCACTCTCCTCCGCTGCACGCGAGCAGATCCTTCTCTCCGCCGATCAGCACCTCGAGCCAGGAGACGAAGTCTGCGGGCAGGCTTCCTCCCATCTTCGCCGCCAGTCTCCCGAAGATCTGCGCCTGCGACGTGGGGCCGATGTGTTTCGCGGCATCGACGCGGAAGCCGGAGAAGCCGATCGAAAGCAGGTCGGCCAGGTACGTGGCAATGCGATCCTGCACGTACGCTTTTTCAGTGTTGAGATCGGTCAGCCCCACTAACCAGCCCTTGGTCACGATCTGCCCGCTGTTCCAGTCACCAATGCTGCGCTCGCAGTGGAAGTCCGTGGGGCCGTATGGAACCGCCGGGAACTCGAGCGCGGGGCGATTATTAGTGAAGGGGTTGATCAGGAAGGTGTTGCCGGTGGTGAAATAAGGTGAGTTGTCGGTAGCGTTGTGTCCAGGGTAATAGACGCAGGCGTCGGTACGATGGTTTTGGATATCTGCAAAACACGTCAGTCATCGTATCGGGAAGCACGAGCTCGGTCAGGCTCACCGTTTCCATTGCCGGACATGTGGTTGATCACCGCATCCGCATACACCCTGACGCCAGCAGCACGGCAGGCATTGATCATGGCTCTGAGTTCGGCGCGGGTGCCGTGACGGCTGGTGAGCCTGTAGCTAACGGGCTGGTAGACCAAGTACCACGGGCGAAACTGGTTGTCGGCCTCGTAGAGGTTGGATCCCCAGACGTGCTCGTTCGGCGACCAGATCTTGATGCCCATGTATCCTAGAGCCCCACGTCAACATGAAATAGAACCATTGGTGTTAGGGGTCCACATACCAGCCTTTCCCAGAAACACGCACTCCTTCGCGATATCGTTGTACGGCCACCCAAACAACTCGGCGATCGCCCCCTTTTGTCCGTTCGAAAAGGTGCTCTGAGCCGCAGTGAGAGCAACATTCTGCCAGATGAAGTTCAGCGGCTCGAGGCCGAGGGTCTTCCCGCTCGAGCTCGAAACGGTGATGGCAAGACTCCCGGTAAGCGAAGAATCGACACGGAAAGAATTCGACGTCTGGGCGGTCCCGCCAAAGCTGTAGCTCAGCTGCTCCCCGGTCTTGGAAGCCGCGTTGACGGTGACCAGGGCGGCGTTGCGTGCGGGGTTGTACTGGATATCGGCATACCCGACGAGATCGCTGTAGTCCTGGAAGGAACTGGAGTACGCGGTATTGCCCTCGGGGGGCGTCTGCCACCGCCTGTTCTCGGCGGCGGCGGGCATGTCGAAGACAGCATCCGAGGTGCAGCTTTCCTTGCCGTTGAAGGTGCCGCAGCCGCTGGGTGCCGCCGCGGGAGCCTCGGAGGGGATGCTGGTGGGGACAATCGGAGGGAGGCTAACAGCGGGGATGCTGGTACCGGTGGGACTCGCCACGGGGGTGGTGGTCGTGCTCACCGATGTTGTGCTAATTGAAGTGGAGCCCACGGCAGTCGAGCTGGCGGAAGTCGAGCCCATAGCGGACGAGGACCCGGAGCTGGGAACGTTGTAGTTGACGTTGTTGCCCGGGTCATAGTAACTGACGCCGTTGACGGTGTACTGGATGTAGTACTGCAACGCACCGGCGGCGGTGCCACTGAAACTCCAGACTTCGTAGCCGGTGCTATCGGGGCCGGAAACCCACTGGGCGGCGAACGATTGGGTGCTGGACCACGACGAGCTGCTCGTCCAGTTGATGGTGACCACCTTGGTGGGCGCGAGGTTCTGGATCTGCGGAAAGTCAGCTGCGCGTAACCGCACATGGTTTGGTCCCGACTCACACTGATCTGTCCCGAAAGAACGTTGTTGGAGTACGAGACACTGGTCAGAGAGACCTGCGTAGCTCTCTTCTGATTCTGATGAACGGAGGCGCCAGATACGAGGAGGAAAAGGAAGGCGAATAAAAAGACGGCGAGAAAGCGAAGGGATCGCATGTTTGCTGTAGGTATCGTCGCTGCCAACTCGATATCCTTCGTGATTTCAGCATCATCGGTACTGGCGAAACTACTCATCTTATGCATTTTCGCGCTCGGACAACCCACCTCGATACTCTCGGAACCTTCAAGCGCTGCGATCCGACGGAGACGGACTGGACGGAGACTGCGGGGTAACTGACGATCGTGGTCTTCGAGCTGGGTGCTTCATTTCGCTTCGGCGGCGACGGGATGGCACGCGTAGGAAGGCCAGGGATCACCGGTGACCACACGCAGACCCTTCACGCACAGGCAGCAGCAAGCGTAGGGATCTATCCAGGGTCATCCATAGGCTACGGGGGTGTGATGCCTGTCATTTCCCACGTGTCCCCGAGTCAGCACCACCGCTGCGAACTCCGAACTCTGCACGGCATATGTAGGCTCCAGCATGTGAGGATGCCAGCTTTTTTCTCCGAATCAACGGCAGGTAGTTAGAGCTTAGAGTAAGTTTCCCCGCACTCCGCATGCTCGCTTGCCGACGTTTCCTGTCGTCTGTAGGCTCGACGCTCGTGGGCGACATGGTTTCGCGGCTAAAAACGTGGCCAACCCCAGTCAACTACCCGTTCTCCCGAACAAAGTGCCTCCGGACGGAACACCGGTGTGCCCATTCATATCGCGCGTCCGTCGAGTCTGTGCTAAAGGTTTCTAGAAGCGCTCGAGAAGTTCTCCGGCGCGGGGAAACACAGGGATCCGGCAGGTGTTATTGCCGCTGTGGTCAAGCCCTGGTAAGTTGTACGGTCGCTTGGATGTGTCGATAGCGCTCCTGCCCCTCTAGTTAGTTGCTACATATAGATAGATGAAGCTCGGGAAAGATCAGGGCAACCTGGATAATTGTCCGCAGCTCATCTCGATGCTTGTGCGTGCTCCAATGCGATCCAACGTGCAACCCCACCCTCGCGATACCCCCCTTTCGCTTGTGCCTGATCGCGGTGGAATGCGGTAGATAGTGAGGTACTTTGCAGAGGCATTTATTGATATTGCGCGCATCCGTTCAGGTACCGTAACCAACTCGATCGGCATCGGCCTACTCTGCGATCTGCTGATGATGCGAGATTGGAACGTCGCACATACGCCCATACGCACGGGCAAACCGAGCTCACACGTCAAAAACGTGGCGAGACGGTTCATTTGCGGCAAGGAAGCTCTGGCTTTAACCAAACGACGCCGTGGGAAACGTGGGTTGATGTCGCAAACAATGCCGACTCTTGGATCGTAGGCCCGCGCATGCCACGTTCCAGACTTCCAGTGAAAGATCATGCGCTCCCTCCGTGTAGAACAAAGAAACATCTTCGGTAGACGAACCCCGTAGATGAGTCGGTGAAGGCTTTGGAAGAAGACTGAGCAGCTCGCCCTTCGTAATCGTGTTGCAATGCCGGTGTACTCACCCCCGGTGATGTTTACTCGTTGTGGCCGTGGCTTGACTATTGTTCATAACCGAGCGTTATGTCGTGTCCGGTCGGCTTAATTCTCCGCCGAGTGTTTCCTTTGTGGACCCCGACGATCAATGAGACCACCGGTATCCCCCCACTCGCCGCTCGTCCACCATCCGCGCACTCCCCTCAAACCTCTCACCTGTCCGATGTAACCCGATGTTTTCTCCTTCTCTTTGGGCGGTTTGCGACTGAGCCTGACCATATTATCGGTGCGGTCATCATGCCGTTGGGCATTAATATTGATCCAAGCAGTGGCCGTAAGAAGTTGAGGAGCAGCAACCCGCAAAGAATCCCAGGAAACGAGCCGAATTGTGTGAAACCAACCAGTAGTAAGCCTGCAGGTAGCGCGAGGGCGGTTAGCTGTGCACGAATAGACGAAGGTAAAGTACACCTTGAGCCCGAGGTGATAGATAGCAAATTTCAAGACAGACCAGGGGCAGAAGGCTCTACGGCTGTCGGAAACAACGCAGCACCGATGGACCGCATTGTGCTGACGAGTAAACGCGAAGCAAGATGGCCGGCCGGTCAGATAAAGAATTGGCAGCGATGATAGAAAGATGTGAGCCACAATTGACTGATTGGCCTCGGAACAACGATCGCAGCCTTCCGAGTGTTCCGGGCGCGTTGGGTTGACACATAACCTGAAACCTTCCGATGATTTGCCAAATAAAGGCAAAGATTTCTCCCGATAGGGAGCTCTGGTATCATCCACGGCCGCTGAAATTACTGGCGCGTTATTCCTGAAGATTTAACCGTTATCAGTATGCGTGGTGATGGATGGAAGTGGACTCAGGAGAACTCCTCTTGTTTCTGGGCCTCTTCAACTGTCATTCACCTCTCGCACGTGACCACAGAGCAATCCATGCCCCGAGAGCGAAGGGATGCCTCAGTCAACTTCCATATTGCTGCGACCTCCTTTTTCCTAGTGTTCTCTTATCCTCGTAGATCCTAATAGCTCCCGCAGTTTCATCAGCAATATGCGCCTCTCCACATATATACATCACGTCTTTGTCGGTCACCGCAGTACCGCTCATCTCAGTACGCGTAGGTCCCAAGGAACTTCGCAACCGGAGTTTCAAGTCGACGAGGAATTTGTAGCTGTAGCCACCTGTGTATATAGAGATATGCTTGATTGAGTTTGGAGAAGACCATGTATCGACTATGTACAAGTCGTTCCCACCAATTACCCTTCATATGTCCCATCTGGGACTTCGTCGCATTCCCTAGCTTGAGTCCGGTAACCTTCCACTAACCCTGCCATTTCCGTGTGTCTTCTCTCCAGGGTGACCGACATCGTGGCCGATGGCAACTATCGGTAGTGTGAGGGCATCCGAATTAGTGATGATGTCGGCAGGCGCCGTTTCTGCCGGGGGATTGCAGTCCCGGGACTAAAGAGGTGATCATGTGGGAACGGGATCGAAGCAGCCATCTGCAGAGTACGAGCATCCAAAGGAGTGATGTCGTTCAGGAGAATGTTGACGTCCAAATGAGTCAGGATTAGACGTGCGAAAGGCTCAGTCTTGCATTGGGCGAGCATATAAATAGAGGGCCTCTGTGGCCTGACGAGAAGCAAGGGAATCAACGGAATTTCGTCTATCTTCGTATCCATCAGCATCTCTATCCTTATCTTGACAAACGAATTAAGGGCGTACAAACGTGTAAGGGTTGCCGACATCGTGGCCGATAGCAATTATCAGCAAGGTAAGGGCATCCAACTGAGCTACGATGAGAGCAAGCGGTATTTTTGTAGGGAGATCATAATGAGGGCCCAGGGGAATTCGGTTAATACGGGTGCCCAGACACGGGTTCAACGGGAGCGTGTAGCCCTGGCCGTTCGGGGCGAGCTTTTCGATCGGACTCATCCGTCCAGTGCGTAGGTGGGATGCCCACATACCCGGCGGGGGACCTAAGGTGCCTGATACGTTGATAGTGTGTTAGCCAAATCTCCGCTCAGACAGAAAATGAAAGTTATCTACAGACGAAAGGCTACATACCATATAAATACTCCGCTTCAACAATGGCAGGGGCACGGCTACTGAAAGACCACGGGAAGGGGGCAGTAATCTTCGGCGGCGGCTGTTGTGCGCATGCTAGGGTGCAAAGGTGGGCGGCGGTGCGGCGGCGGTGAGCCGAGGGGGGGCGGCTGATATTTGTGATGTAGTAGCGCTCAGATATTTATTCTGTTCCATAGGCTATTCGTCCTCCTCTTGCCAGCCCGGAACCAGGTACCCAGTCATTCCTATCATCTGTCTCATCCTCCGCCTGCTTCTCATCCACCGTCTTCTTCTCATCCACCGTTTGCTTCTTATCCACCGCCTGTTTCTCATCCTCCGCCTGCTCCTGATCCAACGCCTTCCTCTCCTTCACGGCCTTCTTCTCATCCACCGGCTTCTTCTCACATATCGCCTGCGGTCCTCATCCATCGCCTTCTTCTCGTACATCGCCTGGGTCCTCATCCACCGCCTTCTTCTCATCCACCGCCTTCCTCTCCTTCACCGCGTTCTTCTCATCCACCGGCTTCTTCTCGTACATCGCCTGAGTCCTCATCCTTCGCCTTCTTCTCATAAACCGCCTTCTTCTCAGCCATCATCGACTAATCCCGTACCGCCTCGGGCAATATCAAAGACGGACTGGGCGCTGTATTAGCCAGTCCGAATCTGGGCAATTGATTCTGCTGTAAGGGGATGATGATGTGGGCAAGCGATTTTGCCGTGGACTTTCCGTCTAGCTCGTCCTGTTGTAGGAGGATAATAATGTTTGCAAGCGATTGTGCTGTGGATTTTTCATCCATCTCATACTGTTGTAGGGGGGTAATAATGTGGGCGAGCGATTTCGCCGTGGATTCCTCATCCAGTTCGTTCATTTTATGACTTGAATTCTCGTTCGAAGGAGAGCGGCATCTGTGAAAAAGGCGCCGTTTCCAGCACGGCCATATGACCAGGTGCCGCCATGCCCTAAGGAATCTTTCTTCCCGGAAAAGGTCCCTAGGCCTACGATACCCGCGAGTGAGCACTGCGGATAAGTGGTCGCTGGTGCGATGTTCCGGGCGTGGCGTGAGGACTGCATGGCTGTTAGATGAGAAATAGAGGAGGGAGAGGGGGTTGACAGACAGATGTCCGTCTTACATTCGATTGCGGCCTATCCGGCCGTCCCCACAAGAGGGTGAGAGGGTGATAGACTGACGCTCGTCTTACGAGGCCGACCAAGGCGTCTCCAGGAGTAGGTGTAATATCCGGTAGTGTTTCGTCCTTCAAATCTCCGTATCACGAGCGAAGCCTTCTTCAGCTTAGCTGTGGTAACTTGGGATTTCATCTTCGTCTTTGATGTCCAATTGGTTGGCCGGTGGCGGTAGCATTCGAATGAGCGTATAGGGTATTTGTAGTAGTAGGCTGATGTGTTTCGTATATGACGTTACTGGAACGGCCCCGAAAAAGGATCAGAACGAAGATGTCGCTGCCTGCAACGACCAACCTCAATCTTCTGACAGTGTTAGATATCTCCTCAATTTGCTCTCCGGGCTGCACCAACTACTCACTAAAAGGTGATGCAATGTTACCAGGACGCTGAGAAGAATTTTGCGTCTCTCTGCCCTCTGCCACGCCGTCTTCAAGCAGATTCCCTGCGTTGGATTTCCTTTTCTTTTCCGACAGTATCTAATTTCATCGACCAAACCATCAAATCAGCAAAAATCGAAGAAGCATGAGTATAAAGGCAGTGAATTACCGTATATGCGGATATACTAGACCGCAGCCCTCCATCGTTGTTCTTACCACCGGAGCTACTTCCGCTTATGTGGTGAGTAGAATGTGAAGGGTAAGATGGAAGATGATAAAAGCGAGAAGAGAGGAGCGGAAAGAATAAAAGGGTGTAAGAAGATTTCAATGGAGAAGAGTATGAACGGGAAGGTAGTTAATCACAACAGGGATAAACTAAATGATCCTAGTTTCGGGGGGTGAGATGGAATGGAGGATAGGTTGTGAGTTTGAAGAATAGGCGGGAAGGGTGTACTCCTCGCGGGTGGGATGAGAAAAGATGGGTTGTGAGTTTGTAGGATGAGACGGAATGGAGGACATGCTAGAGTCTGAGGGGTGAGATGAATTGGGGGACAGGTTGTGGGTTTGAAGAATATTCTGCATTCGGGGATGGCTTGTGAGTTTGAAGGATAAGATGGAAAAGAGAACAGGTTGGAGTCTCAAGGGTGAGATGATTTCGGGGATAGGATTCGGGGGATAAGTTGCGGGTTCGAAGGATGAGATGGAGGTGTGTAAGAGAGAAGAGGATGAACGGGAAGAGAGAGCGGGGACGACCGGTCTATATACCCAGGACCATCTGCACGCCGCTCAACTGGGACTTCCCGTTCAGGATTTGCCCAGCCACTTGCACCAGTCTCTGTTCGAAGGCGTCGAGAAAACCTTCACAACCCTATGCCTTCCCCTCTGGCCCCTTCTTCAGTTACCATCAGCAATTTATAGCTGTGGCCTACTCGCGGTTACTTCATACGTCATTCATTCACCGGCGCTTGTTCTCTTGGTGCTATCGCCCTCCTGCTACTGCTTCTACACTGCTCTCGCACTCATAGTTCCGTTGCTGACTGCCACCTTTGCTTGGAGGCTAGACTCGGCAGTGCAAATAGATCTCCAGCAAATGCCTACGAGCTGGTGGTCTTGGACCGTCAACGCCTAGGTACTTTTGTTTTGAGCTCGAGGGCATAGTCGCCGGCGAGCGAATCGGATAACTTGGATGTGCTTTGCCCCATCCAGTTCGACGGCAGCTTGACGGTCTAACCCGCTACTGATCGTCGGGACAGCTCTAGGTAATCAGTTCGATGCTCAGCCTACGCGGCCCTTCTGGGAATTAAGGGATTGGGGATCACGAAGAGATACTCCGACACCCTATATCACCCCAGCAGAGCGCTTGTCATAGCTTCCGTCTCATTACCGCTGATCCAAGACCCCAGGCCTTCGTGCTTTCTCTTGCAATACTCGTTGGTACGTTGGAAAGAAAATAACACCGTTTTTTTTGTGTTCATTCATTGATTGCACGCGACCTACGTAGATCATGGCAATATCTTCCCGTTCACCCCCGCGTTTCCCGACCACTGGCCAACCCAACTTTCATCAGGAGGCCCGACTTGGCTTTCCCTGCTCCTGCTGTGGCCTATCCCAACGATGTATGAATGCACCAAAGAAAGTAAACTAGGAAAAGACAACTTCCACTCCCTCGCCTCGTCCCTGCCTCACCGCAAGTCACTAGTCCTCGTCGCCTCCTGCCTCTTCATCAGGAGATGCTATGGAGGGAGGTGTGGGGGTGAACAGCGGGAATGATCCCGGTTCATCAACTTCAGCACCCTCTTCCTCCTCTCGCCTCACGTCCGCCTCCCTTTCCTCCCGCTCCCTGAGCTTTCACTCGGATACCTCACTTGCTGCATCTTCCTCCGTGAACCGGAGGTACTGGCCTGTCAGGCCGTTTCCTGTCTCGAGTTTTTAGAATGTCGAGGACAGGCGCTTGGGGGCCATCTCTGGACTTGGGTCAGGTCTCAGGCTGGATTTTCGGCTCAAAAAAACACCGTTTCCCACCTTTCCGTATGTGCCCGGCTAACCCCCTGAGTGACATCGTATGTATGGCTGTACCAAACGTTCGTTGTGCGGTGTGCCCCACACGCTTATACTAACTATGAGAACGTGCAAAGCTCTAGGTCATGTGATAGGACTCAATACTTTCACAAATTTTCTACTAGATTGCATCACTCGCGTATCTTTGGTCGTTGTTCGATGCTGCTGCCCTATGTAGTCTGCCGCCATAATCTAGATGGACTGAATGGGAGTACGATGAAACCAATAAAGCTATTGCATGGCCTATATTTTCCACGCAGTATGAAGAAACAAACAACGAAATCCGTCACCTAGTCTGCTAGGCTCTATCGCTTTTATCTCTATAGTCTCGAGACCTAAATTCCTTCACAGTATCTAACCAAGTATTCATCTCGGCTGCTATTTCTTTCCATTCAGTCTGTAAGGTAAATTGATCTTCATGTTTAAACATCGCTGTAATTTTGGAGGATATGATCTTATCGGAGGAGAGTAGGCCGTACGCCTCGGTGGATACAACGAAGTGAAAAAGACAAACAAAACGTTGCACAAGCAACAGATGATGTTACAACAGCTCCTCGTGGCGCGCCCCGTGTATAATGTAGCAGCAATATAATGAACTGAACCAAAGAGCCGAAAGAAAAGCACCTCTGCCCACCCATGAAACCTAGGCCGGAGGAAATGGAGGGCAGTGGCGGTCGAGCCTGCCTCCGCCCGAGACCTGATCGACTTGAGCTGCTTCTTTCCACCTTTGCTCCATGGACCGCGTTTCTTAGCGGGAAGCGTATCGTCCTTATCCAAGGTCGCCTCCTCAACGCGAAGGAGCTTGCGCATTTCCAACCACCTAGTTCATCAATCCCGCTCCGCCCCGTCAGCGTGATTCCCGACTCCTGAGAATATAGGGGGATCGGTTCCGGCCAGAACTCAGATATCCATCACCGAGTATTTCCAGGACTCTGGACTCTGATGGTTTCGTCCCAAGGTGGATCGACGGTTACGAATCCTCCGACAGAACAGTCTCTCCGAGGCTTGATATAAACACTAGTTCGTCCTCTGCGCTCGCCGAAGGACTGAACTTCGTCTTACGTTTGTAGAAAGCTCGCCGTCGTTCGATCACAGCTAGTCGTCGTTCAATCCAATATCGCTGTTGTTCGATCAAAGCTCGCTGTTGTTTTAAGTAAACAGGAAATGGAGGAAATGTAAAAACACAAGTTCGAGATATATCGTTGGTGCTCGCTCACTTAAGCGTTTTCTTGGCATTTTTCGACCGTTGTCATCACGTTTCGACAATTTAAACGTTTTCTCGGCATTTGTCTACTGTTTTCCGGTGTGGGGGAGCGATGGACGAGCTGCCACGGGAGCGAGTAATGGGAGTTTGGTGGGGGTGGGGATGAAAATGACTTAAGCCATCCAATAGGAATGACTGAGTCAATCCGGTAAATGACTCTAAGAATGACTTAGCCAACTTGTGAAATGACGCTGCCAATACCTTGAGCTTATAGCGGCATTCTTGCGGACTTTGAAATACAGCCCATGTGAGCGGGAAGTGATGATAAAACCAGCGTTGCCATACAACAGCGGGAGACATTCAAAGCTAGCTGCAGATAAGTCAGAAAGAACTGCTGAGCCGGAGCATCGCAATCTCATCTCTTTTACATCCTCGCCATCTCATCTCTTCCGCAGCAAATACTCCTCGCGAACTTCTACACCATACATGCAGCTATGGTCACGAGCCGGCTGTTTTGATTAAGTTGAATGCCCATATAGATACTCACACCTTCCTACTCAGCGATCCTATTTCCTGGTGGTGTGGAGGAGCTATGGGAGGAGGTGTCGGCAAGAGGAGGAAGCGAAGGAGGACGCCTGTCGGTGGGAGAAGACGAATGTGATTAGTAGAGGGCACCAACGTTGGCGGTCATGGCGTGCATGGTGGGGTCGTATGCTCTCTTAGCCATCTGCCTCTTCTTCTTTTTTTTCTTCGTCTTCTCCCACAACTCCGCCTCCCCCTACATCTCCTCCACCCCGCCGCTACTGCTCCCCCCCGTTGCTTCTCCACCACCACAACTCCTCCCCCACCGCAACTCCTCCCCCACCCCAACTCCTCTCCTGCCGCACTTCCCCTCCCGCCGCGACTCTACTCCCACCGCAGCTCCTCCTTTCCATAATAGCTTCTCTCGCTAATAGCTCATGTTTCTTATAGGTAGCTCACCTTGCAGTAATGCTTGTCTAGGCGCCGTAGATACTGGCCGCCGTGGATACTGGCTAGTGGCCTCGTAGGTAGTATTAGTAGAATAGAAATCCATGTGCTTAGTGCTTCAAGACCAATGTAAAAAAAGCTGCATAAGCGAGAAAACCCGAGCCCAGTTTCATCTCTGATATTCACACGTTTCACTCCTACTCCTCAAGTTTCAACAGTTCTAAAGTAGTTCGCAAATGGTTCGAAAATTCCAAGAAAACGATGCTGCAACGTTTTAATGCACTTAAACGCTTTATTTTAAACACATAGGGAATTGCTGGCCATTTTGCTGTCTATAAACAGGATCACTTGTACTACGGCTTCCAATTTTCACGGGAAAAGCCTATGAACTGTATATCCACTCCCGCCGTTAAAAACTTGCAACACGTCTGTAAATCCAACACGGAATGTACAATGTTTTGAGTGGCTTCTATAGGTCAATAATTTTACATGTGTATAATTCTCAACTATCACGATGTGATATTTACTTTTCCTACGGGTTTGAAAAAATAATAATGGCACAACAGTCGCTCCACTATTTAAAAAAAAACCCCTTTTTTTTACAATGGTACATAAATCCTAGAAATCCAAAGTGCGCGGCAAGATCCCACACTCAACCGCTGACTGGTTACCGGTAACCGACTTCCCGTATCGCGGGACCGCTCGTCAGTCTTGGCTGCGGCTGCCCCACTTGGCCGTCGATTATCTACGATCATGTCGCCGATTATCCTTGTTGCCCGTAGGTGTACTTGTACACTCGGCAGAAGAAGGCACCACTGATTGACGAAATCCCTAGGTCGTCGGCAAAGTTCTTTCCCCCCCCGAACGACCGCTACAGCCTGCAAGCTCCAGCACTTCAATTCCACCTACAAACTACCGCGCACCATCTTCGCCGTAAGATTTTTCAGTGAAACAAGCGAAATCGGTATTCCATCAGATCCATCGGTCGAAACGATCTCCGGCGAAATCAAGGATAAGGATCTTACCGTACACGGGTGTGATAGGTACCATTGTCAGCGACTCGGCGCGCTGCAACACCACCGATCCCGAACCACTCCAATCATTGCAATCTTGTGTGTGGATAGATCGAAAGGGCCGCAACGCAAATCCCTGGCCGAGAAACCGCAATTGTCATTTGGAGCGTGCCGTGCCGCCATGTCCAGAGTTGGTGGAATGGTACCCGAAGGACTTAGCAAGCTAAAGCGAGCTCGAGCAGTATCAAAATGGGAACGGTATCTAGATCAAGGACGTGTTGGATAACCGACTGGTATTACTAAGGAACTGACGTACAGCATCAGCAGAGTGACTTCCTATCACAACTATTCGCGGCGTGCTTGTTCGAGCTTGCCGGTCTCGAGAACACAGAACTGCACAAGTCGCGTTTCTTTTGGCCTCTGTCCTTCACATAGGCTGACATGCTATCCTATTGGCTTCCTCGGGGATGCGTGGCAGTAGAGCTTGGGCGATTTCCTCTTCACTAACCGTCGATCAATCGAATGTATCCCTACGTCCTCCCGTGGCACTACCGCTCTCTACGGCCCGTCCAAGCAAAGCGGAACACCTTATTCTCCGACCGGTGCAGAGTGTTGGAGGCCATCTGGCGGCAGAGGCATGGGTTTGTCCTGGTTTGTTAACGCTGTAACGACGGATCAATTTGCGTTACCGACGCGCAACTGCAATCCCTGAGCTTTTCGATTACCATTCCATGCACACTAATATTCTTCAGAGGAACAGGTGGCAAGAGCATGTTGGAGACATGATTTTTTACTGTCACAGGGCAAGGTGAATGAAACATAGGCCACTGAACCCCTTTTTGAGGCGGCGGGGATGTCATTTTGGATGTTAGCGAAATAGTTTCGAGTGATACGCCGTGTCGCAATCTTTTGTCGATGTTTTATCGTTTCAAGAATTTGCAGCGGTCATAGCTCGTATGGTATATTTGGTAATGGGTGTAAATGTCCGAGATTGTAGCCAATGCTGGATCCCGATGATCCCCCAAGCTTCACCCTCCCAGTGGGAGTGCCAGTAGAGTCACCAGGAATCTCTCCCTATGCTGCACGGGCGGCGATCGCAGTTGGATTGGGTGCAGTCCAGACGCATCTAGCTCCGCTGGAGACGAGGAGAGAGCCAGATATGGTGCGCCGACGGGATCGAGTGATTGACCGGGAGTATGTAAATTTTTGCTGGTTCTTTACCTTTTTTGATGGTCTCTTCGGGGTAGAAGGGGACTCCTGTTGCTGGAGATTACTGTCCATAAAAAGTGAGCGTACACGATGTTGTTTGTGTCAGATGTAGACGTCCGATCGCTCGTGGAGTTCTGGCGCCGGAGCTTGTCCGAGTCATATCTGGTGCCGGACGACTGGCGACCGGATCTGAGGCGTCCGGACCTCAGGCGTCTGGTGCCCTGAGCGTGATGGGGTCTACGAGCAGCCCGCCGACGAGACGAGCCTGGAGGCCATTTAGATAGCACATGTATATAGAGGACCCTCTGCCGCTGCAGAAGACAGACGATAATCAAGACTTCATACTCCTATATTTGACAGTTTGGCTAATGACGCAGATCTCTACCGAAGATTGGCAATTGCGCGGTCCGATGGTGGTCTCAACATTCTAAGCTACGAACTGCTATTACTACACATCTTATAGCCTACGGACTGCCACAGTTCGAACCAATATCAGCGAGCATCGTCCGGTGCAACCAGCCATAGAAACCCCCTAGATGACAGGGTGACCTATATAAGGGGAAAGGGCACGCCGAGATCGTGAGGGACTAGAACGATACGAGGAGGAGTCGAATGGGTTGTAGACTAAAATTTTACCAACCTACGCAGTGGAAATTCCGGCGCTGGTTCGAGCAGGTTTCGAAGGTGTGGGGATAGCAAATCTGACGGATGAAATGTATTCCAGTAGACTTATGTTAAGATTAGACGCCCGGAAGGCTCTAGAAGACTCACGATCGGGAAGGCTCCACCTGATGACGGGGCACGGACCGTGCTCGTCTCAGAAGTCGAAGGAACCCCGAGTATCTCCTACGTAAGAGTATTCTGCCTTGGACAAGACGAACGTGTATATAGAGGGCCTTTCTGGCCCAACCTGAAGTAGAGAATCAACTGAACAGATGTCTATTCATCTATCCATCTCTATCTATATCATCCATATTCTGGTAGATTTATCGTATCAATTTCCTAGCCTGCCACAAATGGGTCTTGGCGGCATGAAAGTGTGGAGTGTCACTCGCACCTGGAAGCTTGAATGTTAACCAGCAGGTTTTCCCGAAACAGGAATCATTTTAAGGTACACCTTCAAGAAAGGTTTTCTTTGTTCTAAAGAAGCCTCTTCGGTCGCTAGCCAGGCACAAAAACGATGACCACAGATAGAAGGAAGCGAAGGTGAATTCTTCTTGACTCCTCTACACTTTTCATCACACTCAACCCTCAACCTTCAACCTTCAACCTTCGCGCACCCTCGTCTTTTACCTTTCCTTCAGACTCAGATACCTCCAACAAACATTACTCTCACACCCGACCGATCGTTCCTACAATCTCCGATAATGTCCGGATCCCAGCCAGACGGGGGTCATCACGACAACAAGTATTTCAACAATGGGGTGCACGATGAGCGCAAGAGCGAGATCGAGCCGCCGACAACCAAGGTGGAGCCTGCTACGAGCGACAACTGTGACCCCCACGGACCTGAAAACGCATTCGACGGCCGTCAGGGCTCACCAGATTATCGCCATCGTCACAAGATAGCCATTCTCGAGTGGACCGCAGGAAGCAGTAGCTTACTTCAAAGTTCCTACCAGCGATCATCGATCAGCCTCAATACCTTACCGGAAGAACTGCTTCGGATAATTTTCAAGTTTTCCAGTTCATTGGACGATGCACGCGCACTCGCTTTCTGCAGCAAATCATTCTACGACATTTACAAGGACGACGAAGGCGGAATCCGCTTGGCACTCTTGCCGACGCATCCAATACTGAGCGACAGTGGAAGAAACTACTACGAGTGTGCTGTCCGTGTGTTCGTCAGAAAGCAAATCACGGAGGTTGAAGGCAAGTAACGCATGTTTGAGCGACACTTGGAGACTATTTCTAACCAGATCCAGACCAGGGCGAAGTCGACGACAAGAAGAGAAACAAGATTCTACGGGCTGGTGGGTTCGCGACCGTCAACGCCATCATCGATATGGCTACGATTGTCAATCATACAGCAGACATCCTATATGGAGAACTGATGGAGATTGCGAACCTCCGCTGCGACCATCTTCACTTCGCTATATTCAAATGTTTTGCCCGAGGCATCTGGGTACGCTGCCTTTGGGACATCTGGATACTGCTTGCAGAGGGCGAGAAACTGGTGGAGGAGCTGTTTCCAATCGGACATCCGGGTCGTCAACGACACCGCATCAACTCTTTCATCACCGAACATATCTGCTTGTTCGTCAGTCGGGACCGGGGGTGGCGGAACTCTGGGTTTCCCGATACTAAAGCGTTACTCATAGTTGCTCCTGCCGATTGGAACATGTGGTCCTGCCACCTTGCGACATACTATCGGCTCATGGATTTCTGCGACCTGGAATACCGCAAGGCAAGATTCAATTCACTGGCGAAGCTGTTCCGAATTCTGGAGTATGATGCGAATAGGAAGCTTATCGCTAAACTTCAAGGGAGGGTGTCAATGCTGGAGAGTGTCCATAACATATTTATGACCCGATTGAAGATCTCACCGGCTGAGAACACCGTGTTCAATGCCTCGATAAAGAGTCTCAAGGATATGATTGCGAAGTTGGAAGACAGGAATAGGGGGGCGGAGAAATAAGGAACATCACAGAGTTACAGCGGCGGCTGGCTGAAACTTTGGAGGAGATTGGTGTCATTTGGGGGGTGATAGGAGGCCGAAGCGGAGGTGGAGAAGCTGGCCGTGTCGTTACGGTGTCCTAGTGAATTTCATCCTCTTCATTACCACTTGTGCGCCCATACATATGCGATTTCTTCAGGAGGAGTGTTGTCTGCGGTACTTTTGTGATGGTCCTCCTAATTGTCGAGGATCGGGTTTAATGACATCGCGCTTCAATTAACCGAGTTGAGGAATAACTTCGGTGGGAACGGACGGATATCATGGGCACGGACAGATACCTCAGGGAAGGAATACGATGGGATATAGTTTTTGCTTCGATGTATCTCTTGAAACACTCTCTCTGTTGTCTTGTCTTTTGTTCTGTATCTAGCAATCGCATCTCTATCTCTCACTCTCATTCGTTCGCTCAGATCCGCTTAACAAAACTAACGGCTGTAACGGGCTTGAACTGCAGCATAAGAGCGTTCTACCCAAGGTTGCTACCCTCTTGTACATCTGGGGGACCTTGAGTACTGGGCTCCCATTCCCTCACCACCTGGGAAATTCGCTCCAATTGAGCCATGATCGCCGCCGGTGATTTCCCTTCAATCCTCCGTTACAACCCTAAATCCGAAGCTAGTAAGGAACACAGCTGTCAAGCCCAACACCCACCAGTTTTGCGAGAGCTACACGCACTTATGAAAGCCGACAGCAAGTGCCAACCTATAAAGAGATGTGTCGCGATTGCAGCAAGGGCACTGCAGATGACACTATATGACTCGACATCAGTGAAGCCTTGCTGAAATCCAACCTATGGCTATTTCGTAGCGGCAATTCATGACCACCACCGCAGCTAGTTGCTTGCACGCTTCACGCATTCACTGACTGCCCATATTCTAAGAAGGCTGCGCGTAATATGTTTTGCGCATCGCGCGCGTTCACCGACTTTATGCCTTCTACGACAGATGGGTATCATAGTCGCCTTACTCCTCCTTATGCGCGAACTTGGGGTTCTATTGTCCCACTGTATTGTCCCGCTGAGTGGCCTTCGCTCACACCCCCCACGCCCCGCTCGGGATCACTTGGTTCTGCTAATCCAGATGGAGCTCGCACGCGATTAATTAGTCGGTGATGAACTCTTCTAGAGTGTCCTCTGAGACCAAGCGCCGAGTGATACGACGGAGATCTCAATCACGGAGGTGATATCTGGTAACGAGTGACTGATTATGATGCAATTACGGAAGAGGAAATGGATGTAAACTGCTCATTTCTGCTATATTTATTCCGGTATTGCCCGTTCTCTCAATGGCGAAAAAGCAATCATATTCGCACATCTTTCATAGACCGGGATTTTTCTCTTTTTTGTTGCGATATTACTTACTTTCTCCTGGGCACACGATGGCTTCATAAGTTGCTTTACCGAGTGATTTGATGAACAATGTCAGAATGTCGGACGTCAGGAGATGACGATGTCCCTGGCGGGGTATCCGAGCACGGAAGACCTACCTTCAGAAGAAATCAATGGCGAGATACTCTGGTTCATGAAGCATGTATATCGAGAGAGAGAGAGAGCTGTGCACGATATTGTTGTTGTACCGAATCGATTATCTTCTTTTACCTACCTCATTATGCAACAAAAATTTATGAACGCGAACTGCAGCTTGAGATTGCTATTATGCTAGCTACTGCTTCTCGACCAGGACATATATCCTCCCCTCCGCGCCTAAGCACGCCGAACCCCGCCCAGTCCACTCTCGCCGTCACCCAACCCCCACAGGTTCCCCACTATTCGCACCCCTCCTCGCGGCCCGCAGGGCAGGGGGCCCTAGGGGGGCGGTGAATGGTGTTGGAGTCTTCCCCAACATCCGCTGAAGTAGTAGCAGGCCGCCGTAGCGCGGCGATCCAACGGCTCGTCTTGTCCGTTTTGGGCGCCGAACGGTGTCTTCTTTACACCACCGTATCGATTATTTAAGTCAGTCTCTCGTGCTCCGCGTCTGTCGTACACTCGGAGATACGTACTTATGGTTCGTCATATTACCCTTCGAAGAGTGCATGGTGGAGGGAATGAAGATTCTGAGTGGTATCATTGGTTGCCTTGAAGAACAGTGTTAGCGCCTCCACGGTGAACTGGATTGTCAAAAAGACCAACAGCTTCGATAGTGGGAACGGATGGTTGTGGCAGTTGAGGGATTGCTGACGATAACTTATAGTAGTAACGGGAGGTTGTGTTGGCTTAGAAGGGGATGTTTGTGGAGTTGAAGTATTGCTACCGATAACTGATAGTGATGAAGGATGATTGTAGAGAAGAGAAGGAGGGGTTTTTGTAGTGGTTGTCGGCGAAGAATTCCGCTAGAGTCGCTAGGGTCCGCTCATTCTATTACCTGTTTTGTAGGTTCAGTAGGCTGGGTAGGCTGGGGGAAAGTGATCAAACCTTGTCCTCGTGATCAGCTTCGAACCATCTCGAACCCTGGCCCTACACAAGGGAACCTCGCAGTGACCTAACGGTCAATTCTTGCTACCGCACTGGCCCAGCGACACGGGTTCAAGTAGTCATGAAGTTGGTGATCTAGCTCGGGGTGCATCACTTTTTATTTGTCCCGCCTGACCGTGTGCGCTTGAGGTCACTCGCTCTACGAGTGATGGAATAAGTTTGACATCGTGGTCATGACAGACCTATACCAGGTAGTATTGATATCGATGTGAATAGAGAGGATAGCCGAGAGCCCCAAGAGTGTAGGATGTAGGGCAAAGGTCTGTGCCTTCTACTTCCATTAAGAAACCAAGTGAGTTATATTGCAACAGAACATGGTGTTATTTCCGTCGAGCGTATCGCAACCACAGGGCATGTCGTTACGGGGATCGGGAAAGCCAGAGCGAGCCGCCGCAGACTGATCGAGGCGAAGCTGGACAGTGGGGAGGAAAGGACATGTTCCTACGCCATGATCTTGAGAGGCCGAATGCATTGATGCTTAAATGGAAGGGGAGGAGAAAAAACTAGGATTCGGAATCAAGAATGACCACAACTTATGGCCAGGGGGATAGGGGGCGATTTTATTCGATTCAATATGCTTACTGCAAGTCACAATAGACTGTTTGGATTGCTTTTCAGTTTTGCTGCTTAAGGTATGAAGGTATAGGTACCCGGAATGCCAGAAATATCTGTCCACTGGGTTCGAGGATGAGACCGGAGATTGGTTTGAAGGCTAGCATACCTATTGGTCATCACAGCAAACCCGGTATCATGACTGTAATCCTCAACTGAGTGCCTTACATTAGAGTCATTTACTAGAAGATTCACTCAAACAACGAAGAAATGGCAAAATCATACTCGATTAGGATGCAGAGCAAGAAAGTCTATCAGCCACCCGCCAATAGTCACCAGCCCATAGTATGTAGCGACGATCTCTAGCCACAATCTGTAGCCACTAACTATCCACTAGCTAGCAGCAAACTGCGCCCAGCTATCAGCCGCACCTCATGTTCGTGGCTGAAACCATCAAATCCGGACGTGCTGGTTCGTGTATCACGCTAATAGGCGACATCCTAAAATCCCCGCATACAAATAAGTTTGTTTCAACCTGTTATGATTAACTCACCACACTTTCTAAAGAAGTTTGGCTTCTGCTACGACCTACTTTAACCCTTCCTCTATTATGTAACAGATCGCTTTTAACTTTTCTGGGTGTTGTGGTTGAGTTAAACCGGGGGTGGGGTTGGGCATTTTTCGGAATCTTTTCTAACGGCCACAAAGCTAATCCTAAAAAAAAGTGTGTGGCTGTGGCGAGGAGTCACGTGCTTGTAGCAAAGAAAGGTTTTCACCCCTGGGTTCCGTGTCTGTACCGTAACCACCAACCATTCCTACTACCACCAACCATTCCCACTACCACCACCACCACTACCACCACCACATCCAAATAACTTCGACTAAATGTCTTCCGTTATGACTTTCCTCCTACACTACACGTCGTATTGAAAGAAGCAGCTCTTTCAATTGGATAAATCCGCTGATTTACCTGTGGATCAGTTCAACGAAGTTCAGCCGTTGGTGTGCGGTGTCTCCGCGTTTCGAAATACGAATACAACAGAACGGAGCAGTATCCAACCATAAGTCGATGACAAACCGATCCAACACAGAATCAGCAGTATCCGTGATAATGATCAGTGCCCGGTTACTGTCAAATTGACGCGTCAACTCATCGGACTGCATCCTACCGTTATTCTCGAACGCGAAACCAAACATTACCACAGTTACCATTTTGAAACCAGTTGTACGGCGAAAACATCAGCTGATCGCGATAAAAGTCGAGAAGAACTACCTATTCCGCTGCTCATATTTTATTTTCGCATGGAAACCGAAACGGAGGTTTTAACCTGATGCCTAGCAACGGTATAAAAATATACTGTTGAGCTTGCAACAGCTGTGTACGAGAAGATTGGATTGGTAGTCTTAGTGGAAGGTGCTGGTGAAGCACCGGTGCAGGATAATGGACGGATCGAGGCAATTCAACTAGATTTCCGTATCATCGAAGAATAAATACGACATATCACCTGATATGGCATGAAACCAAATGGGAGGCCATCGCCAGCAGCAAGTCTCGGACTTTGATGGAGGAGTCTAGTTGTAAATATTTTGTTTTAGAATAATTTTACTATGAGACGAGTAATCGCGGCAAATATCTGAATGTCTTTTGACATCATTTTCGATGGGATTGTATGAAGGACATGAGTCGGTGTGCCGCGGAATCTGCTATGGTTGTGCTGTGCGGGCGATGGTGTTGGGCGGACGAGGGTGTTGTGCCCACTGCTGTGCGGACGACGGTGTGGGTAATAGATATGTAGACAGGACGACTTTTCGACAGGCGACAGCCACACCCACATGTGTTGTACCACACGCTAAATGTTAGCGTTGCGGCCGCTAGAAAAGATTCCATTTTTTCACTCCTATGTTACGTGTCCCCAACCATACCAAGCCTTTGTACCCCGCACCATATGTACGCAGGGCGATCGGCGGGTCAGTGCGGGGTCTGAAACCGGACAAACCACGGAAACCAGTCACCCTGGTTCTGCGGATTGCGCCAACGATCCTTACCGACACTCCGCAGGCCCTCCCGATACAAGCAAGTCGAGACGCTATCCTCATCGTCATCATCAACATCTTCAGACCATCCTCCATCAGAGTCGCCGCCATGTCGGGGACCTGCACTTGGGCAAAGTGCACCCGCGTCGGGGTCTGTAAGGTTTACCTGAAAATTCTCGGGCGCCAGTTCTGTGCGTCCCATTGTGCGCTCCATCGGGAATCCATGGGAATCGAGGATTTGTGCGAATTTTGCAACGGTGATTTCCAGACGACACCAGTTGTCGGAGACGTCGACCGCCCCATTCGGTCGGACCTCACTCTACAGCAACCACGACGGCCGGCCGGACAGCACCCAAGCTACGCCGTTGATGAGCCGTATGCTAGCAATCCAGACACCGGCACTCGCTGGCTAACACCGGCTGCTCAGCCGGCTCAATATGTTTTCCCCCAAGCTTCGGTTCAGCACTACTATCCTTCTGCGAGACGAACCGAACAGCAGCACGATTACGCGAAAGCCACAGAGAAATGGCCACAGCAACCGGAACACGTCACGGAGCGACCATCTCGAAACCAGAAAGGCTCCGCGGATGAGCTACAGTACCCCGCCGCGCGCGATTTCCGAACTCTGGACGCTCCCGACACGCAGGGAGCTGCGGGACGACAGCCGCGGGGTTGGGGCGTACCTGGGCGAGAGCCAGGGCAAAAACAACCACCATCATCAGCACACCGGGATGCATCTAGGTTACCGCCGCCGATCCTCAAAAGTCTCGCGGTTCAACCGGTCCCAAAACCGATACTGAAGCCCCCCAGAAAACTGGAATTTCAGCCATCAAGGACGGACACTTCCGCCGAGAAATGGGCGACCCAGCGTTCCGTTGCCCCGCCCGCCCCCATAAACCCGGTGCCCCCACAGAGCAGGGGGGAGCGCCCATGGAACCAGTATGGCTCCGAAGGGCAGCGCCGCCCCCGTGAACGGCCTTACTCGCTGCGGACTCAACCCCCGTTCAGCACGAGGCCTGGAGCGCCACATGTTCGGCCGCCCCCTACATACTCGGATTCAGAGGACTCGACATCCGAGGACGACAAATTCTCCACCACCGCCCCCGAGCCTGCCTGGCAACCACAAGAGCACGACCTACCCGAGCCACAACTGGCTAGGAAACCGCAACCGCAACGGGGGCGGCAGCTCAGATTCGAAGAACCGGTCAAGCAGATTCAACCGCGCGGGCGGAAGGGACCTACGACGTATTTCCCCGCCGCCGATCAGCCATCCCTGTGGGATCCGCAGCGCCGCAAGGCGAAACCTGCATTTCCGGATCCAGTGCCAGGCCCATCCTCGCCCGCATCGGCAAAACAGCTTTCCGATGGGAAAAGCCCGCGCCGTCGAGGCGAGCTAGCCCTGCAACCTCTGGATCCAGTCATCAGCACCACTACCGAAATAAAGCCCCTGAAACCTGTCGCAAACCGACACGCCTCGCCAGTCGTCGACAGGGGGCATTCACTCCCCACCACCTCGCCTGAGCGTACGCACAATCCGAAAGCAAAACGGCAAAAAGAGGTCTCCGTGATTCCGAAGAAGAAGCCATCCGCACCGAAGCCGCGCCGGAATGTCAATGAGCATCGGACTCTACGACCACGACCAACAAAACAACAAAATGCGACAGAACCGGTCGCTCCTGCAAAGTTCCCCATCAGCGGTGGAGGTCACTCCGAACCGCGACTTGGGCGCGAGTCCGCCTCCGATTCGGAATCCGCAACCGACCCCACGCGAATCCCACTTTCCGAAGGGGAATCCACAGACGATTCCTCCTCCGTTTCGGATGATACTGCCAAAACCGGGAAGCAAGCCTCCCAGCAGGAAGAGATTATCGTCCGTTACCGTTTCCTTGAGGACCTCGAATCTGCTGCTCTCCGGAACGTCTACCTAGACAGCGTTCCCATCCCCGAGGTCTACCGGGAGTTGGTCGATAACCTACCCGCATATTGTATCGATAATGGACAGGAAGATGGCGAGCCCGATATCGATGTCTTCGGTAATCCCCGACCACCGCCTGAGCGGTCGAGCAGCCACATTCCCGATGCTCCATTGGAGCCAGTGCCAGAGCCAGAACCAGAGCCAGTGTTGGATTGTTCCAAGGAACCTCTTCCCAAGCCGCAGCATTCTCCGGATTTCGAAGAATTTCCCTGTGAGGAGCATCAAAGGCCACCCGTAGGCGAAGATCTGGCCGCCGACCTCAACCCTGCATTCGTGGAGTACGACGGGGGGACGTACGACGAGGAGGAATACTTCGAAGATGCGGAACAGGAGGCTTACGGAGAAGATGCCACATACAGCCCCGAAAGGGATCCGCACGAATCCGACGAAGCACCTTCCGACAGCTCCAGCGCAGAGCCTTCGCAACCCTACCTTGACGGCTCATCGGATCCAATCGACGAGCTCCTCTCCCTCTGGGAGACGGCGTCTCTCCCCGACCATTCCGTCGCGCAAACGTTCGAGAACGATCACGATTCCATCCCATGGCACACATCCGGCGGCAGCGACGTGGCCAAAACCGAGCCATCCTTCACCGACGATGCCGACCCCCAACCCCAACGAACACCCGCTTCGGAAGCAGTGGGAGCGTCCGCAACGGCGGAAATCTACATTTCGGAAACCTGCTACACCAAGAACCGGAAAAACTTTTATGCAGTGCACGCGGGCAAAAGAGCAGGGATCTACGGGACGTTCCCGGAGATGCAAGAGCAAACCTTGGGCGTGTCGCGAGCTAGGATCACGAAGTACCGCAACTTAGACGAGGCTAAGGCGTCGTTTGACGACTGGGAGACGAAGGGCCTGTATCGCTCGCCGCCGAAGAAGGAGGGAGAGCCTTGATTCCAAAGTTTCGGTCAGCGGTTATTTCGCGCATTCCATCGCACGGATATTTTTCTTTGCTTTTCAGACTTGATTTATAGTTTGCTTATAGTTGCGACGCGGGGGGAAATCTCAAAATAGCAGCTCGCCTGATTCTAAGGTCGCTTTTGGTTTGGCTTCTTTTTTGTCGGTAATGCCTATGACGATTCATTTGTATGTACGGATCTAGAATGCACGTTTTTTTTTTTCCTGGGTGTGGGTACATCTCCAGTCCCTGCGCATCCAACCGGACAGTTAGCAGGTTCAGGGTATATCCAGAGGCGTGACATTCCGAGAGTACGTAGCCCGCCGCATCTTGCGTGAGTGGGTGGTGGAGTGGGACTGTGAAGTGGAGGTGGTCGTGGTGGGGATGGTGGGGATGCGGTGGTTAACTTACCTATCCCCTGAGTACATTCTCGTATATCCATGAACTTTTCGAAGTTCTTTACGAATGCTGGTAGAAATGCGAGCTCTAAAAGTATTATTGCTAGCATATCCTCAGTTGACTGAAGTAATCAATTGAAGCTCACTGGTTGCTACAATGATGATTGTGGAAAATTTCCACAGCAGTGATTCGAGCCATAAAATATCTTATCTCTGATCACGATGGACATAATATGGATGCCAATAAGCGAGACGCTTCTACGGCTTGATTGTTCTTGAGACTCGAAGCCTCGAAACCTCGCGTGTAGAGTATGTGCTTCACAAGACCTGTTCCCATCAGATGAATAACCTCAACCCGGTAACCTCCCAAGGACGGATTGTGTTTTTCCAGAGACAGAGATCGCATGCAAACATCGCATGCAGCTTCAAGAGAAGTAAACAACCAGTCGCCCCACGATGAACACCCTCGAGAGTAGCCAAGGAAGCGAAGCAAATTCCAAGTTGCCCCGATGCGGCAGGCAACAAGTCGAAGCGCGACCGAAGCAGCCGCGAAGAGAAATGAGAGTTTTGAACGGGAAGAGGCGAGGAGAATGACGGAGTGGAATATGCCGAGTTTCGTCTGCGCATCAGCTATCTGAGATACTCCTACCACCAACCAATACCCTGTGCGCGCAAGCTCTCGGAGAATACCAGAAGCCGGGGAAGCGAACGACCCGGTTGTCTTAGAGAGTCGTTTAGATACCGCGGGAATCTGGATGATCCTAGTAGTTACCTCACAGCGAATCATGCCGGATCTCGGTTAACGACTACGTCCCATCCTGTTGAATTTTCGCGTCACGAATGTAACGCCGTACACTGTGAGTGTCCCCAATCCGAAAAAGCAAACAGACCATAGTTCTAACCCAAGAAACCGAACTGAACGCCAAAAGCATACCAGCAGCCAATCGGAAATAAACGCGCGCTCAGAAATCAAGCAACCATACGATCCGATATCTCCGACAGCAAGGAATGTACCAGACCAACGCGAGCATGGGGTTGATGTTGACGAAAATCCATTTCGCGCCGTCGTGGCGTACGCACTCGTCCTGGATCACCGGGAATGTTGAGCTTTCGGGTTGCAATGCGTAATAGACGCCCGGCAGCCCCCGTCGTTCGCTCTCCTCGTGGGCGATGTCCAATAGCTCGAGATCTGCGAGGAGCTCATCGACTTCCGTCTGGTGGTGCTGCTGTTCCTGCATGCCGCGCCGTGCTATCTCGCCGCCGCTTCGTTCGGTGGCGGCCCAGTATTCATCGGCTTCGGAGCAGACGTTCCAGATGTCCGGCATCGTGTGTGCGGGTAGGGAAAGATGGTGACAGTGCTTTTCCGTGCTGCTTATTCGGTTAGTACATGGAAATAACTCGGGACCGCGGGGATGGTAGTCGTACAATATTGACCAACGAAATGCCGTGAGTATAAAACAGACCTTGCGTGGGTCAAAACTGCACACTTATGGCCGCCGTCGCTCGAGCCAAGGAGAATTTTGGGTTATCGGGCATCACGGTGGTATCCTATCGTGGGAGCGGGGAGCAAGGAGGATCCACATGCTCACTATCGAGAGCGGGTGATATCCCCAAGCCACCCACGATATAAGTCCAACCCCTCACCCCACCGCGACCCGGAATATCGGATGCACGAACCAAGGTGGACATACTTGGAATCATACAGAGTAGTTGAGCTACACTCTGCTATTTTTCCACGTGCCGCGACTGGCGTGCTGGCCCCAGAGGGCGAGCCAGGCAATGGGAGGCGGCAGGAAAGGCGGTATGTGTGTCGATATAGTAGTCGCCGCTTTGGTCTCGATACTGAATGAACGAGGTAAATGTGGTTTCTGAGGTTGTGGTTTCGTCCTGGCCGAGCACGCGCGTGGTCACCAAAGTAATATCCAGTGTTGTAGCAACTGCTGTGGTGAGGACTGTTAAAAACATTCGGCAGGAATTGCCGCCTCCACGAGAAATCGAGCCATCTCCACATCACGTGCTCGATGACCAGGAGATCACAAATCCGAAGAATTGCAAGAACGAGTGTCCGTGATGAGCTAAGTGCGCCAGACGTGGCGATTAGCCCTCGGGGTGCCAGTCTGTGGCGGCAAGGGTGGGCTGGCGAATTCCGGTAGCATGGCGAATGACGACGAGGCGGCCTGGCCGTGGCGTGTGATGTTGACCACTGAGAGCATTTCCCCGCCCACCAATAGGACCACGGGGCAATGTGGTTGTTTCGCTCCTCGGAGAACGGAGAAACTGTAATGCTCAGTAACTATCGCAGGGCAATGAGAACGGGGCTTTCACTGCAGCCACCTACATACCGGTAGTCCCCATAGCTTGTTGAGCAGAGCCCATCTCTCGCATGACGGGTTGACTGGTGTGTGCGTGTGAACCCTCACCGCCAAGACCCTCCCCTCCCTTTCGGTGCCCACGATTCGAGGTCCTACCTATCTCCCAGCTCCTGCATCGTTTACCCCCCACGGTGCATCCATTCACACCGGTGCGAGGGTGTGTCGTATCACTGCCGACAACGAAACACGTGGGTGTTGCGATTCACCGGAAAACTGCTCGGATGGATTGTTGAAGATCTGACGAAATGATATTGAAGGAAACAGATTATTGTGGAACACAAAGGGAACTCCAGGAATTCCAAGCAAACTTTCTAAGCTAATATTAAATAGGCAGGAAAACGCGTGATAGCCCGGCAGGAATTATTGATGGAGCCAATCGCTCAGTGAAGTGAACATAACTGACCATTGCACCCCTGGAATGCTTAGAGAACTTCAAGAGTAACGCTCGAATCAACTCTTCATGTCCAGAGAGAAAAGACCAGCAGTATCATCGAAAGGGAATCCGCTAGGCATAACGGTCCCAGAAAGTTTGTCCCTTCGAGATGTCTCCTTCCTTTCGAACCGAGTTGCATGATCCGCCCATTCAGCACTCCGTACGCAGACCATTGGTTCTACACTCCCTATTTTGGTGAAGCTATATGCATGTACATAGATTGCTAAAAACTTTGCCCACTAGGTTCGAGATGATTATATCAGGGATTGGATTAAGTGAAGCAGACGCTGTGATGACTGATAGACTCCCCTCAAAGTAGGTACAGCTGCCACGGACCCGATCTCTAATCTAATCATGATCGAACCTACCGGCAGTAGGTAGTTCGAATTTCATGGCGAATTCCCCCCCCCCCCCCCCCCCTAGAACTCCAAATCGACACTGCCGTACGTCCGCGGACTGGACGGCCGCACTATCAACCGACTATTCTTCGGCGACCTCGACGACTGCTCGGAATTCTTGGCGGCTTGCATATGAATCGAAGAGCACCGCTGTTTCCACTGCTTGTACGATAGGCCTTGTGCACTGGGCTCCACGACTCCTTATCTGACGGAAACATCGGTATTGCCATATCGGAGGAGACGTGGCTAGCGACTGAGTGTAAAATGAATTGAAATCATCTGCGCAGCCGTGGGACACTTACGAATAGCTGTAATAACGTAATTGCATCTAAAAAGGATCTTTGATAAACTGTTGCCAATGGCCCGAACGATGGTAAATTGTGTGAAGTCCTGAGAATGATACTCGAGTAATTGTCGAGTCAATTCCCGTCAGCATCGGAAGTATTGACACAAGTCATTAAAAGAGAAACCTCCGGATGATGGCCAATGATCACTACGGCTCAGGGTTGAAGACGAATCGTGTTTATATTTCACGCGGAATTGAAAAGTGAAAACTACGGCATGAGACCGTAAAGGACGGTGAGCCGTATACCGAGCGACCCCCATCTACGCATTTGGTGACCACTGAGGCGGGAGAGCTCACTTATTCCTGGCGTATGAGAGCACATCGACAGAGGCAAGCCACAAATGAGCGGACTATTTATTCGAACGCTAAAGTGAGAGTGAACCCTACTACCGCAGCGGATTCACCTCCTCATCCTGAATAGCAAGCCATTCTATGTCTGCCTGTTCCATGTAGATGCTTGCGATTGTTTCCTGCATGGTGCTGAGGATACCTCGGATATCGGAGTCCCGGGGAACGACACGGTCGCGGGATTCTTGTAGTCTGAGGGCCAAGGTGCTCATGGTATCAATGAGATCCCGACGACGTTGGAAGAGGGAAACAATGATGGTTTCGGAGGTAGAATCGGCTGTGTTCGACATGGCGGTTTAAGGGTATTTATCTGCTGTATGTTGGGCAAGAGTCGAGGGGAAGCCCGGTTTTGTGCGTGCCGGGGGATCCGTGTTGAAGGTGGACTCAGATGAATGTGATGCTTTGACAGGGGGTGTGCAACACGATCGTCAGTGAAACCGTCGAAACCAACTCTTGCCGTTCTTTGTTCATCGTCCGCCTTTCGCTATGCAGAGGGTTTCCCAGCTTCACATTTATCCTGTGGGTACATCAATAATAACAGTCTATTCAAAGCACATATCGATCCGTCTCAGAAGTGTTAATTACCCACACACTTTCAGTGTGTTTTTCGATCCTTGAGTCGGTGTGTTTTATGTGTATTTTTGAACATGTACTTCGAAAAGACAATTTAATCGTATTCATACGATAGGCAAAGAACATCCAAAGAGTAAAGTAGAGAAGTGATCTTTCCAACGGTAGAAACTGCCGACGTCATTGGATTGAACACTGTTCGCAGTGTGCTTATTAATAACCGGATAACTAACAGCCTACAGGTGGCTTTCGAAGCACGTGAAAAATGCAGATTTCACTTAGATAGGAAGATAGATCATCTTATCAGCGGACTTTGGGATCTACAGGCGAGGCGCTAGCGGTGACTAGTATTAGCGCACATCGCCGCCCTTTTCTCTCGCACGTCAACCCCTTCCTTTCTTTTTCTCCCACCATCCTTCGTCATCATCACCATCCACACACTCCTTTACAGAGCCCTGCGGGGCAGCCACCAATATCGATACTTCCACTACTCAAACTTCGGAAC